TGTGTGTGTGTGTGTGTGTGTGTGTGTGTGTGTGCGTGTGTGTGTGAGTGCAGTGCATTTGCCTGAGGAGACAGTATTATGTAAGAGATCTCTGCTGCATACTGCATTTCAATAATGCACTCATACTGCTAAATAAAGGCACACACACACTCATACTGTACACACATACAATAACAATTCATATACAAAGTAGATCAGATTCCCAGGACACTCATTGTAGATCTTGTCCTAACAAACTGTGCCTAGCTAAATGTCATCATGTTCTTATCAGCAGGAAAGAAAAAATCACAAATGACATCTCTTTGATATCGCAAATGATTCTCCTAGACTAGATTGCGATTAAATGGAGAATAAACGGAGATTTAAATGCAAACTCTCCTGCTTCCCAGTCACTCCTGAGAAAAAAGTCCCTAATATCTCTTTTGGGGGTTTTAGAAATGATCTTCAGACTATGTGTTCTCAGACTATGCTCATATTTGACCAGAATCATGCTCAGATGCCATCTCAGAGAAAGTGGTACTTATAGGTTGCTCTTTCATAGCTCATGAGACTTAATCAGTCTTAGAGGAATTTTATGCAAAATGCTTGAGTTTGTATTGAAATCGTGACCCATGGAGACACATGATGAGAAATATCTGAGAAGCAGCAGACAAAACACTCCATTTGCTCTCTGTTTACTTCATCAAGAAACAACTGAGATAATAAAGAGATTTCATTTGTGATGTTCTGCAATCAAAAGTCAGAGATTTCAATGAACTCAAACATTTCTCAACAAATTCATCCACATTCGTTTTATAGCTCTATACTTTTTCGGTCAACCTTTCTCTATGTCTCATTTGTGTCTCTTTTTTATTGCTCCCAAGGAATTTAAGTAGAATCCTCTGAGACAAAGTTGACAATTTAGCATGCTTGAAAACTCAGTTAAGTTATCTGAGCAGCAGAAGAGCAACATCTGGGCAATACAACTTTTCTCTATGTACAATATGATCTGATGTTCTGCATCATGGAAGTGATTCTATTCCTTTGTTTCTAAAATATGTAAATGTTATCTGACTGAATTCATCTTCACAGTTATTGTTTTGGCTGCTGCAGCACATCTGTGCGGCTCAAAAGCTTGAATACAGGCTGAAAAATAAGTTTCTGAAAACACATTTTTTGGATGTGGAAATGGGTTAGCATGTGGGCTGCTATGACTCCGTGTATGTGTGTGTGATTCGCTTCACTGGTGGCATGCCAACCTCTGGCTGCTGTTGCCCGGTAACACTTTGCCACAGTTTTGCTCTCATTTCACCTTTTTACAGACTTTTTGTCTTTTTCTCTGTATCTATTTTTCCCCTTTCATCATAGTTTCCGGCATATTATCTAATGTGGAAATGATAATAAACCAGTATCACTATTGTTTTATTGGGATTACTTGCCTGTCCTGTCCTTTTCCCTCTTTGTAATAGATAAACTCTTTCTGAAAAAGAGTTTCTGTGTGGTTTTAGAAAGTATTTATAAAATATATTTCCCTGAAAATATTTTTTTTCTTTGTTAAAATCTGGAAGAATTTGATGAGAAATATTTAGCAAGTTGACTTAAACTTAAAATTTTAAGGCAGCACAAACACTTTTTTTAAGTAAATTTTTTTTACAGTGCTGTAATTTCAAGTTAAAAGTTAAAAGAAAATACTATTTCAGTCTTTCTATCTCAATTTCTTTCTCAATCACCAGTTTCTAATTGAAAATTGTTTCAAAGTAAATTCTTCACCATTTTTTTCAGTGTATAAGTAATCTGTTTAAAAAAATTTGGTCAGTGTGTGTTTTACTGTGTAATCAGTACATTAACATTTACCAGTATGCATGACTAATAAGTATGTTGGCCCACCCTCAAGTCTTTATAATATTTTGGTCTTTAGATAGGATTAGATCCTTCCTTCATTGTAAATGAATGAGATTTTTTACCTGTTTTGTTCCGTTTCTGGATTAGAGTATTATTTATCAGTATTATTTTTGTAGATTGTGTTGGTGGATATTCCTGAGTTGTCTACCTTCTAAATAATGCAGTCAGTCTGGTTTCTCATCCACATGTTCCTCACAAAGTCATCTGGAGGTGTTTCATTGAGTATGATTAATGCATTCTGGCCTGAACGCTAGCTGAATTCAGGAATAAAGTTTGCACTGCATTCTGGATGTGTCACTACAGTGGAAGTTTTTTTGTAATCTTGTTCCCTTTTGGTTTTCTACACCATTTTTCTCAGTTCTTTTCTGTGTCTTTCTCCCTCCAGCGGTGCCGTTCCCGCTGAGCCACAGGTTAACCATGCGAGAGGTGTTCGACTGTGAGGGGAAACCGCGTGTGGACCTGCTGAAGGCTCACCTCACTAAAGAGGGTCGCTTGGAGGAGCCTGTCGCCCTGCGTATCATCAACGAGGGGGCCGCCATCCTCCGCCAGGAGAAGACCATGCTGGACATAGAGGCCCCTGTCACAGGTTACTGATACAGACATCTGTGACAAGAAAACAGGGCATGATCTGTAGATAAAAACAGAACCAGTTATTAACAGATATGTTCACTGAAGGTTATTTTCTTCTCTAAAGGAACAAAGTTTGGTCAAAAGTTTGTAATTAATACAATTTTTGAAATAAAAAAAGTCTCTTATGCTCACCGAGTCTGCATTTATTTGATTAAAAACACGGTAAAAACAGTAATATTGTAAAATATTATTACAATTTAAGTGAACTTAATTGAATATATTTTAAAATGTCATTTACTCCTGTGATACAAGTTGAATTTTCAGCAGCCAGTCGTCAGTGTCACATGATCGTTCAGAAATCATTATCTGATTCTAATAGGATTATCTGATTTGCTGCTCAGTTATTATTGGTGCTTAATTATTAAAAAATAATCAAGTCTTTGGACATGGTAGCTGGTTTTTGGCTGGATGGTCAAGATGGTCATTAGCTGGTCTACCAGCTGCCATGTTCTAAAAACCAGCTTGAACACGGCAGATGGTCTACCAGCTTGTACCAGCTAATAACCAGGTATGTTCCAAAACACAGCTTAATCTGGGTTAGAATATCCTAACTGAGATGTAAGTGACATAATTGGATCACAACATAGGCTGCAACTCAATGCATCACACAAGTAGCTCTCCACACGTGGGACTCAACTCATAATTGATTCCAGTATGCTTAGAGTTTGACGTTAGCATGTTGCTAAGCTTGCAACTTGATACTCGAATTGCAATAAAAATACAGCATGCATAAATACAGGGTGTAATAGTATATTTTTTATTAAATTAAATATAAATCGCCAGTTCATGCCATCTTGTATTTATTGTTTACTCTGAGCTTAATACAATGCATTCAGGGATTGCCTTCACCACAAAGAATATGTGTGATGCTGCATTAAATTTGTCCATAAATAAGGCATCCTAGAAAGTAGCATAATTAAAAATCTACTGATCTGATAATCCCAAAATGCATTGGGATGAGCTCGTTGAAAATTTGGCAGAGATGTGTGAAATGTAATGTTGAATTGAAATATACACATATTTTATTCATTACTAAAAATATTAATATCTAATAAAATTGCAGTATTTAATGTAATGGGTTAGTATTTTAATGTAATTTAATGGTTTGGTACTACTTTAAGATATGAATACTTTTATTCAAAAGTGACAGTATATACATTTATCATGTTACAAAAGATTTTTTTTAATGTTCTTTTGAACGTCCTATTCATTAAAGAATCTGTTTTCAACATTGATAATAAGAAGTGTTTCTTGAGCAGAAAATCATGGGTCATGTGACTAAAGACTGGAGTAATGATGCTGAAAATTCAGCTTTGCATCACAGAAATATAAATTACATTTAAAAATATATTAAAATATAAAACATTTGTTTTAAATTATAATAATAATTCACAATATTACTGTTTTTATTGTATTATTGATTAAATAAATGCAGCCTTGGGAACCATACGAGAAAATTTACTTCCCAGCCCCAAAATTTAGAACAGTAGTGTGTTTTTTTATGACAACCAAAAGTTAATATGGCTGAATATTTACCTTTATATACATACATAATTTTGAACAAAAGGAATTATTATATTCACGTTCTATAGTAAAATAAGAGATATTGTGATTTAATTTAGTCATGTATCAGATGATAAAAAGATACATACACAAATATATGAGCATACTACAATAGGAACATGTATCTCTAAGTTTAAGATATGTATGCGCAGGTACTTATGCAATTACACTACATACTGATGAATTTTATAACAGAAAGAGGTTATCACTCTTGCCCTAATAAAGTAGAAAACTTTTGAAAATACAGGCTGAAAAGACGTTTGGGAATACATGACATTGTTAGGAGAGGTTAGATAATGAACTGCACCTTGTGACCTTAATTTCCCATGAGTCAAAGTGAGGTACAGCACAGGCAGCAGGTCTGACGCAGGATGAAGATGTCGCTCTTCAGCTATGAAAATGCTATCATTTAGGAAGCAGAGAAGCTGAACACTTTTCATGCTCTCACTGGCCTCACATCTGAGACTGAGCCTCTCCCTCTCCCTCTCTCCCAGCATGCATTTCTGAACCCTCATCAGCTGCTGGCCTGGTGAATTTCACACACAGGAGTCATTAAACATTAATGGCTCGCTGGGTAACTGGTTTAATTCCCTGGAACCCATTACAGAGAGAGCTGGTTAGCTTTGTGTGCTTTCAGTCATTCAGACCTCGTGGCCTTTAACCCTTTGACCTCCCATTGGGAACACACACTCCCATGTGAATAGCTCCAATTAGACGTCTGCATTAGATATAAAACAACTCTCACCTTCTCTTCAGTCTCTTTCTCTATCTTTCTCTTTTTCTCTCTCACACGCACACACACACACACACACACACACACACACGTTTCAGTCAGGATGGTGATCAGCTTTCTCCTTCTCATCTTAATGTACAAGATGTTTATTGGATGGTTTCAAACAGATTTCATCTATTGGATTTTGTCATCATAGCTGGGAACAAGTGCTGGCAAAATAACCATACTTTGTATATCAGACAATAAATGCAAGAGCCATTTTGATTTTCTAATCTTGCTAGCTACTAATAGGACCTACTAAAAATGAGGTAAATTATTTTTAAAAATCCAGTTTCTCCACAATGTGTGCTTACATATGTTTGTGACGGCGCAAATACTTATTGTGTGACTTTTAACTCATAGAAAGATGACTTTCAGGATGACAGCTCACTTTAAACTTTAAATTTATTTATTTAAAAAATATATTGTAAATTATTAAACATTTTATTAAATCAGTAAATTGTAACTGTAATCCTAAAATACTTTGAGTTTTTTTTTCATTAAAAAAAAAAATCGTTCAGTCGAAAGATAAGATGAAAGTTTTAATATCTGCCTTTGATTTTCACTGATAACTAACTGTATGCCAGTGACATCACTGATATATTTGCATACTGAATTGTTTTTTACATCAGGGTTTATTAAATGAAAATTAAACTATAGTTAGGAAGTCTCAATTAATCCCTCTCTCTTTCTATATTTGTTTACAACTCCTCAAACTGTCATTCTGCTAAAACCTTCCCACTATTTTAACTATTCGTTTACTGTTTTGCAAGCACTATTGTTTCCTTCAGCTAGTCCCAATTTTTTTTTGTATTGTTGCAGTGTGCGGGGATATTCACGGGCAGTTCTTCGACCTGATGAAGTTATTTGAGGTTGGCGGGTCTCCTGCGACAACGAGGTACTTGTTTCTAGGGGACTATGTGGACCGAGGGTACTTCAGTATTGAGGTGAGTATGTCCTAAGGTTTTTTCCACCCTGCTTAGGGACATTGTTTGTAGTACACACCACCTTTGCCTAAATATCTTGATGTGGTCTGTGAAAGTATCTCTCTTTTTGTCTAAATTCTGTCCTTCAGTGTGTCCTTTACCTCTGGTCGCTGAAAATCCTCTACCCAAAGACGCTGTTTCTGCTGCGGGGAAACCATGAATGTAGACATTTGACTGAATATTTCACTTTCAAACAAGAATGTGAGTACTGACACGAGGAAAACTCTTTGTCTTTTCAGTAATTGTGTCTCTACACTTACATTTAAGGTGTGAAACTATACATTTCTTATAAATACAACAGTTCACCTCACCTCTCCTCTGATGGAGGTCTTTTTCTGGAGCAGTCTCTTGTCAGACAGAAAGAGAGATGTAGAGAGAGAAAGAGGGAGTATGATTAGCAGAAAATTAATTTGCCTGTTAATGTTAGGCCCAGGGAGCCTGTGAGTGTGATTTCCCTGATGAGGAGAGTGAGGAGGAGTGGGTGCCCTCCTTTACCATCTGCTGACTGACAGAACACACACACACACACACACACACTCACACTCACACTCACACTCACACTCACACTCACACACACACACTAATACACTCAAACTTATATACAACTGTTTACTATGCTATCTAAATTGGGACACACCATACAACTAAATTGAGTTTAAAATAAAGGTAAATAATAATAATAACAATACTAATAAAGTAAATCATTTAAAACAATTACTCAAAAATAAAAATTCTCTTTATTTACTCATCCTCATGTTTGTGACTGAAAGTTAAGTCATTCAATAATAATCTTCCTTTCTACATGAAGTCAGAAATGCCATTAGCATGATATAAAATAAAAAAAATTATAAAAATTAAAAATAATTATTTTAATTAGATACAACTGAATGATTAAATATACAATAAAAAATATGTGTATGTATACTATACATGCATACATACATGCACGCACACACACACACACATATATATATATGCTCCAATGTTAAATAAATTAAATAAATATTTAAAAAATATATATATTTAACATAATTTTAAAAACATTTTAATGAGCTCCAAAGTAATTTAAGTAATTAAATATTTAATAAAAATATAGTAGTAGTATATTTATGTATATACTTAAGATAAGCATTTTAATAAATTAGTCAATTATAACTAATACTGAACTACTTTTTTGCATTTAGAGTAAAACAAAGCAGCATTGTTTACATTTTAACATTTACACAGAGTACATTTGTATTCTTATACTACTGCGCTACAGCATAGTAGAATTTTGATATATTGATTGATCTAATGTCATTAGTGAGACAGCATTTGTGTGTGAATAGAGGAAAGATGGAGGGAGAGATGGAGAGATAATGCAGAGTGATACAGTGATGTGGCTGAACAGATTGGTAGATGTGGAGCAGTGAGATTGACACAGCACAGACTGTCTCACACACATCTCTCATTTAGTGTCCTCTGAAAGTGTAATTGAATGCAGCAGCTTAATGTACGAATTAGATTCATACAGAGAAAATAAACCCTTCAGGAGAAGCTCACTTCATTTCTGAGCTCTGGAGTGACATTACTTCATACTCTTCTTCTCATTTGTATCTCTCCTGCGCTCTCTTTGTTTGTCTCTGACTCTCTGTCGCTCGGGTGAAATCAGATGCTCCGTGCAGGTGTGTGATCTCTGTCTCTCTTTCTTTCAGGTAAAATCAAATACTCGGAGCAGGTGTATGATGTGTGCATGGATGCATTCGACTGTCTGCCTCTGGCTGCTCTGATGAATCAGCAGTTTTTGTGTGTTCATGGTGGCCTGTCTCCAGAGATACACACTTTAGACGACATCAAGAAGGTGAGGAGTGTATATGTATACATACAACAATTCAAAAGTTTGGGTCAGCATTTTTTAAGAGGTTTCACATTCAGCATTAAATTGACAAAAAGTGACTTTTTGACTACATTTTTACAAACTGTTTTTCTTTCAAATAAATGCTTGTCTTTTTGAACTTTCTACTGAAAGAATACAAAAAATGTATCATGGTTTCCAGAAAAATGTTAAGCAGCACAACTTTTCAATGTTGATAATAACAAGAAATGTTTCTTGAGCAGCAGATCAGCATATTAGAATGATTTCTGAAGGATCATGTGACACTGAAGACTGGAGTAATGATGCAGAAAATTCAGCTTTGCATCACAGGAATGAATTACATTTAAAATATAACAATAATGTAATGTAATGTAAATGTAATAATATTTCGCAATATTATTGTTTTTACTGTATTTTTGATAAATGCCGCCTTGGTGCGCATAAGAGACTAAACCACTAAAAATCTTACCCACCCCAAACTTTTGAACAGTAAATCCAGTTCTCGTTCTCCAGAAAATCCTTATAATGCAATCCTGGACCATTTTTTTATGTTTTATGACTTAAGACTCAGCTCTAACAACAGATGTTTGATAGATCTTCTGTAAATCTCCCATTATGCTTCTGGTGCATTTTCTTTAGCGATGAACAGGCTGTGCACAAACACAGCACAGCACACCACATCGTTTTTTTAAATTATTATTCTTGTCTTTTTCTGCCTATTTCAATTTAGTGTGCTTTATTTGCATGACAAAAAAAAGTATATTTTTATTTTCAATGCAAAAAAAATATAAATAATAATAATAATTATGCAAATGAAGTAAAAACAGTATTCTTAACATATACATTAAAAAAATATAAAATATTAGAGAAAAATATTAAATATGAATAATGTTGTTCATTTATTAATATGATTATCATATTTAGTAATATTTAATTTTAGTGATGTTGACTTGGCAGACGACTCTCTCTGTTTGACTCTCAGCTGGACAGGTTCAAGGAACCACCAGCGTTTGGCCCCATGTGTGATCTGCTGTGGTCCGACCCGCTGGAGGACTTCGGCAATGAAAAGAGTCAAGATTACTTCAGCCACAACAGTGTCCGCGGATGCTCCTACTTCTACAGGTAAACCACACAGCCTCCTTTAGTATGTCCTAGACAGCAAATTGAGACTCTCCTGCTTTTCACATGTTTCTCCACAGAAAAAGCCCCCAGTAACCTCTCATGTGGCAGAGATCTCGACAATGATCTTTGATTTCATACTTAAATCTGAGCACAGTCAATATACTGTATGTACTCAGATTCTTCAAACACTGAATGATCTGAACTGCTATCAACATTTATTTTACAGCGCTATACTCCTATTGTATGTCAACATTTTTGTCATTTATGTCTCTTTATATTTCCCATAGGGAGTTTTAGGAGAGATGTCTTAAATAAACTTTAAGTCTCCTGTGCTATGAGCGAGCAACCACTGAGCAAAACGATGTTCTTCAGGGACGTTTGTACAGTGAAATAAAGGTGTAGATGAAAGTCCAGCACCTGAAGTGCTGCATGAGTTTGATTGGAATTGTAAAGCAGTCCAAACAGTGACCAGCCTCAGCACAACACAGAATCCCCACAATCCCACGGGAATCGGCGCTCTGCCGTTACCATGGCAACTGGCTACTACTGCCAGATCCGCTGAGATATGAAGATACAGAGATATAGTGAGAACCTGAGAGAAAGACAGAAAGGATAGAGCAGAAAAGGAAGAGAAGCTATAAAATAGGGCTGAGCGATTAATCAAAATGAAACTGAAATCGTGATATGGCTTAGTGTGATTATCAAATCACAAAGGCTCCGATTTAATTCTGAAGATACAGAGATATAGTGAGAACCTGAGAGAAAGACAGAAAGGATAGAGCAGAAAAGGAAGAGAAGCTGAGCGATTAATCAAAATGAAACTGAAATCGTGATATGGCTTAGTGTGATTATCAAATCACAAAGGCTCCGATTTAATTCAATAAATAGTTAAGCATTTTGTAATGAGAAGCATTTTTAACCCTGTAGCCAACAAAGGAGAAGCCAAAATGAATGTACTTAACATTTGAAAATAAAGAAATTAACACGTAAATATTAGTATATTATATAATATTATATGCATATGTATATAATATTATTTTTCTGTTGATAATGTAGAAATTTCTTATGTATTTCTTTTTTTTAATAGTAAATAATAATAATCTACATAATAAATTACTGTTAAATAAAAATATGAAACAAAAATAAGAAATGCATTACTATCATAATAATATTTTTCTATAAATTAATATTTAATAAATAACAATGTAATAATAATACTAATTAATAATAAGGTATTATTATTATTATTTTAGTCATTGATATATGAATATTTTGGCAAAATTGTGCAGGCCCACAAGGAATCACAGCAAACCTGCATACGTGCACAAATGAATGAATGACATTGAACCATTTTTGTTCTGAAGAAAACCACTATTAGATTCAGGCCTATGGGAAAATATATATAGAGAGAGAAAGCAAGAGAGAGAAAAGGGATGGTTAATTCTAAGCTAATTTATTTACACCACAGCTAACGTATGCAGCCTGTGAATGAGAGCCCCGGGTGTGAACGTTATTACCCACAATCCTCACTGTTTTCACTTCTTATGAAACCTTCTGAAATAAATGAAACAAAGTGGATGATCTGTGTGCGCTTTAGGTCTGTTATTTTCAATATACCAGTAAAAAAAATAATAGACAAAGACTGCTAAGTTAAACTAATGAATAACATGCAAGACTAGTCTTAAACATGCATCATTACAACACTGAGTCTGAGTCCTCGTATCTTTACTAGCATCACATTTAGACCCTTCAGTTATTTTGAGCAGAAAATGATGATTTTCACTGTAAGCTGCACATTTACATCACTGCTACCCCCTGGTGGCTGATAACGGTAAGACAACAATAAACATGCTAGCAACGGGTTAAATTCGACTATTGGAGATATCAGAAGGGCTGTATAATCAAATGAAATCTAATGAACTGTGAATGAGGTTTCAACGGTTAGTCCATGTTAGATTTAAATCACCAGTGCTAACTGGACTATTAGCAATGACACACAAACATCCTGAAAGAAAAAAAACAGTCAATGGTGGTTTGCTGATCTTAGCTGGTTTTAGATGGTCTCTCAGCTTGGCTAAGTAGGTATTTAGCTAGTTAGCTTACAGGAAAGCACCAAAAACAGACCAGCTTACCTGAGTTATTTAGTCAAATGAGTTGTTTTATCAGTGAAGAACTGTAAATAGTGTTTATCATGCCTCATTAATGTTGTCTGTTTTATCATTTTGTACAGCTATCCTGCGGTGTGTGAGTTTTTACAGACCAACAACTTACTGTCTGTCATCAGAGCACATGAGGCGCAGGACGCGGGGTAAGAAAACACCAACATCACCTTTGACCTCTTGTCTCTTTCTATATGTCTGCTTTTCTCTCCTTTCTCACCTTCCTCACCTCCTACAGACATAGAAACCAGATGAAACACCCTTACAAACACACACACAAAAACAGAACGTATATCTTGACAGGCTGGTGAAGTTTGTGTTGATGGACGATCAGTGTGCAGATACAGCAGACAGTCAGACGCACAGAGCCATTGATTCTCCATAATCCAAATACATTACAGTACAGTAGTGTTTATTGATCTGAAATGCCACCAATGCACACACATTCACCTATTCAACTCAGCCCAGGCCCACTAATCTGCCAGAGTAGCTTTAAATGTGCAAAGGTACACTACAATACTCAACAATAGTTAACTATACCATACAGTCAGCTAAACAACAGTCAGTAATGCACTACACTAGGGCTGTGCGATATTGAAGAAAAATGCGATATGCAATAACTCATTAAACAATGCGATATTCGATATGCGATACGATAATGCTTAAAGTGCCACATGCTCAGATGAAATAGTTTTACTCAGCTGTTGCTGAGTCAGTTCTGAGAACTTCTGTAACTATCTTGTGTCATATATATATATATGGTTATTTGTATGTATGTATGTACCAAGAGTTCCTGTAAAACCACAACAAATTCCTTGTGTTTGCGCACACTTAAGTGGTGAATAAAGCTAATTATGATTATGATTCTAATAAGAAAGCACCCCTAAAACAACTTCTGAAAGTGAACGGTAGTGTTTTACTCGAGCATTACATAAAAATGTAATTTTAACATTAGTGTAATCATTTTAACATGAGTTTAGGAACTGAATAATAAAAAGGAAAAATAAAACACTGCTTAGCATTTATTCTTTGAATTCAATATGCACTGATTCTTATTTAAGCTACAAAAGTTATTTAGGTAAGAGCAGTGAGGGATTTTCTCTTTGTCTTTTGTTCATGGCCCCAAATATTGCAAGCCGTAGCGATATGCATATTGCGATATGTACATTTGTGATATTTCGATAATTTCGATATATTGCACAGCCCTACACTACACCAATCTACAATACTCGGTACAACAGCAGACAGCATGTTAACGGAGTACATTAGTTCATTTTACAGTCTAATAATATGCATTATAATGTTCTTTAATAATATTTAAAGCATTTTATGTTCATAATTTTGTGTTGTGCTGCATGCCTTTGTCAAAATAAACAGTGAATAAAGGCTTCCAAATAATCATAATTATGATCTGAAACTCTATGCTTTGAGAAACTGAAGTTTTTAGGGCTTTAAACAGGGTCCACCTCAAGTAAGTATTTATTATTAATGTTTAGCAAAATTTGAGGAAGAAGATTATTATTCCCTCACTTATTTCCCAGCGTGATTCTAATTTAGTTTCTGATTGTCATACTGAAATTGTCCTCCTTATCTTCTTTGTTTTCTTGCTCTCTCAGTTACCGTATGTACAGGAAGAGTCAGACTACAGGTTTTCCTTCTCTCATCACCATCTTTTCTGCTCCAAACTACCTGGACGTTTACAACAACAAAGGTCTGAATTCAGGTTTTCTCTCTGCCACATGGTCACCTACAAACACATGTCAACACACATGGTTGATTATGTATGATCAGGTGAATCTCAGAATGAAATTAGTTATATCTTGAAGAAAAAAATACAGCTTTATTCTTGTAATGATATGGGGGTTATTTGTGATTTTTTTCTATGATTTTAATGTGCCACTTAAACTCTATTGTAGATCAACATTTAATATTCATATATAGTATATTAACTTCCCGATTGTCCTGAATTTACAACAACAAAGGTCTGAATTCAGGTTTTCTCTCTGCCACATGGTCACCTACAAACACATGTCAACACACATGGTTGATTATGTATGATCAGGTGAATCTCAGAATGAAATTAGATATATCTTGAATAAAAAAAATACAGCTTTATTCTTGTAATGATATGGGGGTTATTTGTGATTTTTTTCTATGATTTTAATGTGCCACTTAAACTCTATTGTAGATCAACATTTAATATTCATATATAGTATATTAACTTCCCGATTGTCCTGAAAAGGCTTAATTTTCTATGTACAAAATCTTTGTCTGAAATATGAAATGTGACCCTAACCCTGGCATGTTGTTAATAGGTTTCCTTATGTCTTTCCTACACAAACCTGTTTAGTAAGATTTAGAAACACTCAAGTATGTCAGAGGCCATTGTATGTAATGCAAAGTTGCAGGGCTTTGTGTTTTTGTTGTGTGTCAGTCATGTGCAAAGTGAAAGTAAGTTACAGATGTTCATTAGAGATACTTATGTTCCTATAAATATGTTTGTTTTGTGTGAATATAACTGCCTTAATGCCATTCCGCAGCGGCCGTGCTTAAATACGAGAACAACGTAATGAACATACGACAGTTCAACTGCTCGCCACATCCGTACTGGCTGCCCAACTTCATGGACGTCTTCACCTGGTCTCTTCCGTTCGTTGGGGAGAAAGGTGGGAAATTAGAGGAACCATGTTGCTAAACAGCTTGAGACATCATTCTGACTGGAGACAGCCAGTCTTTGCGATTGCACAAATTTTGTATGTTTTGTTCATTCTGGGTGTCTGTGTCAGGAAAGTGGATGCACTGTTCTGCTGACTTGTTAAAACTAAGATGGAATAGGTCCATCTATTCTGTCTCAACAAGTCAAACTAGAATGAAGCAAATGAGCAATCCAAAAATGTTTCATTTGATTGAGAAGGAGATTAAAGGATCACGTTTATCTGGTGTATCAGTATTACTATGGCATTTCTTATTATGTTGTTGTTGTGAATATAATTGTTCAAGATTATCATAGTTTATGCTAAAATGTCAAGAGATCTTGCCGTTTTGACCTTTTACTCCTCTACAGTGACAGAAATGTTGGTGAATGTCCTCAGTATCTGCTCTGATGATGAGCTTATGAACGACGGAGATGAGATCTTTGATGGTGAGGACTGCACATTCCTTATAAGCTTTTCCTCTAATGTTTTCAGAAACGCACAGGTCTAGACTTTAGATCATTTAAATTATTACACCTAGTTTTTAAGTCAGTTGAGAATATTCAAATGGTTCTTTGAAATAACTCAAACATTTTAGCGTCATGATTCATATCAAAGAAGGTTGGTTAGCTTCAACGTTTATAGCTACTTATCAAAGAATACGTATGGAGAAAATCAGTGGCAAAATACTTCAAAAACTCTTTTCTCAGCACACAGGGTGAGAATTGATCAGTTTCAGTGTATTTGAAAGCCAAAAACATTTCTGTTGGACTTCAAATTCAACTTATTACAGTTAGCTTCTAAGATAACATTTTTATTTTCATGATCATAATGTGTTTAAAGTTTGAAGTTTTCATCTAATGTTTTCTAATTTATTTCAGCTTTATTTGAATGAATGAAAATTACTTTTATTAGTATTAGTTTTAGTTAGTTATAGTTAATAACACTGGTGCACTGTCTTTTTTGTTGTTGAGAATATTCAAATGGTTCTTTGAAATAACTCAAACATTTTAGTGTCATGATTCATATCAAAGAAGGTTGGTTAGCTTCAACGTTTATAGCTACTTATCAAAGAATACTTATGGAGAAAATCAGTGGCAAAATACTTCAAAAACTCTTTTCTCAGCACACAGGGTGAGAATTGATCCGTTTCAGTGTATTTGAAAGCCAAAAACATTTCTGAGAACAAACCCAAGAGAGGGTCTCACATCATCTCTGACTGTGATATGAAGCACTATGTTTCCATCAGAATGGATTAAAGTACATTAAATAAAAACCTTAAAATTTTCATTACAAAAAAACTACTTTGATGCGGGTGAAATGGGTTTGTTTTCTAATGGAAACATTGACTGTGCTATTGGTCCTTGTGAGGTTTTCCAGTTAAAGTGGGAGCGAAAGTGATAAGATGTAATGTACATTATCATCGCCACAGCTGTTCCCTTGTACACCGTATATTGTGTGTGTGACTGGTTGTGAAATATGTGCAGTTGTGAATTTGTGTTTAGAATGTGACTATTTTATAGTAGAGTGGATCAGTGGAGTGTTTGAAGAGATATCTGCATATGAGTGAAATTTTAAATCATTCCAGGTCACATTTCACACAAATAATCAAAAGAAAAAAAGTTTGAGTAAAGAAAATATTAATATACAAATACAAAATATTAAACAAATTAAGATTTTTTGCATTGAGATATTATTCATTCATGTTCTAATATAATGCCCCTGAAATGTCCAATATTGTAAAATAATGTATTTTATTATTTAAAAGTTCAAAAAAATAATTAAAATGTAGTACAACAAATACCATGATGGTGTATAAATGCTTTAAATGAAATAATATTAACAAAAAAATTATATATATATATATATATATATATATATATATGTGAAATATGTACTTTTTTATTTTTAAACATGGGTATACACCGTGGTTGTAATGATTTGTTGTATTATATATATATATATATATATATATATATATATATACATTTACTTAAAATAAATATTGTACGTTTTTCAGTAATCCAGTAATCATTTTGGGAGGAAAAAATATAAAAGTAAATTTTTTTGTACATAAATAAATACATATACAATATATATATATATATATATATATATTGTATTTTTTTAAACTTTTTTCACATTACAGTAATAATATTGGGAGGAACAAAAATTCACAAAGCGGGGGAAAAAAACAAGCAAAATATGATTTTGACGTTAAATATGACCCAGACATATGTATGTATCTCTTGATATTGTATACACTCTGTTTTTGTATCAAATTGGCAGAATAATACACTCATCTAACAGTATGTGATCACTTGTGTTATGTCTGTTTGTCTGGTTTAGATTCTGCCTGTGCGCAATTGGTGACTGCTCTTCTTTTCTCTCTCCTTTTTTCTCATAGCCATCCGTGGCTTTTCTCCACAGCACAAGATCAACAGTTTCGAGGAGGCGAAGGGTCTGGACCGCATAAACGAGCGAATGCCGCCTCGCCGAGACGTGGTCAACAGCGTGGGGCTGTCAATGGGCAAGATGAACATGGCCGAATCCAACGGCACGGACGACAACAGCAATATCCAGTGATTCATCTCCTCCTCCTCCTCGCTCGCCCCTGCTTCTCCTCCCATAATGCAATTCTCCCCACTCCCCTCATTTTCACTGCTACCGTCTATGTAGCAGATGGACTATGTGATATATTTAGACAGAACTCCCTGCTTGACGTTCAACTGCCTCAACAACAAACATGAGACGGGCCACGCGAAGGAGATCATGCGTGAGAGTTGCATGATGGGATATGTAGTTTTATGGATATGGGGCTATGTAATGGAAATACGAACACAGAGTGCATTTCCTGTTCCTTTGTCCGAAGAGATGTTTATTTATGCGTGTTTGCACTTTGCGTGCATGTCTGTGTGTGTGGGCGACATGTGATATATAATTAATATATGATGATGATGATGATGATGATGATAAGTAGGTTTTCACAAACGCTTACTTTTTTTTTCTTGGCCTGCTGTGAAACATAAAACAAGGCTGACGCTCTATTTATTCAAAAGCGTCAGAGTGTACGTTTGCGTTGGTACGTGTGCAAGAAGCTTATAACCGTTTACTTTCACACTTCTCTTGCAGTTCTATGTTTTGCTACTAGTAATCACTATATCTATGGAATAACTAATATTACACAGAATAATTTCACACAGGTTGTCAGGATTAATCCACAAATAACAGTGAGGTTTGGAGTGGCCGTAACGCCCCTCATGCTGTGTGCTCGCTGTGTTGTGTAAATCCACCGTTGTCACGTCGTGCTGCACGGTTGCTATGGCAGGCTGTGGCTTTCCCACCTCCTCTGGTGCTCCGGAGCAGAGCGGGGGGGAGCATTCAGTCAGCTGCGTGTGTGCGTATTTGTGCGAATATGTGTGAGAAACAGGGAGAGGACTTGATTTGATTGATCTGAGGGATTGCATCGGGTTGTTATGGGTGGTTTCAAACAGGCCCTTGTCCTGTGTTGGTGCACTAGACAGAACGGATTTCCAGCCACGCATAATTCATGGGAGTTTATTTTGTATATAAATGGCGCATATTTTTAAGGAACGTTTTGCTATTGCTTATTTCCATGTTATTTTATTTTGTATTCAAGCCATTTATTTATTTATTTATTTATTTATTGTTTGGTGTTGGTTTTTGTTTGTTTGTTTACATTGCTGTACAGTTAATTAAGCTCCGATGAGGTGTTAAACCTCCTGCGTTTCTTTTTCGATGTACAAAAGTTATCCAGTAGTGTGAAGGAACATATAATTCTGTGAAAAGACATCCAGGCTGCCAAAGCATGACTGCATGGTTATTTCAAATGTAAATCGAATATGGACACACCTTAACGTGTCTCACATTTTTAAGGAGAAGTATATTCTGATCATTATTCTAAACAATATTCTGGTTACTTATGATTATGATTATTATTAAGAGTTATACTGGTTTATTCCACTTTGCCTCATCCTTGTTTTGGTTGCTCATTGTGCTTTACTTTATGAATATTGAAAAAGTTCATGAGTTATTTGTGATTCTATATCTTGTAATTTTCTCTGGAGCTTCATTCTGAGCATCATGATTTCCTGACCTACAGTACGGACAGTGTGAGCATGCCCTATGGGACAAATCTCTTTTTTTACTCTTGAATAAAATATGCATGAACCTTTTTGATTTTTCTGATTTATTCAGCTCGCATGGCCAGTGTGTCACAGGTCTCACAAACAAACAGTAAACTATAAATCAGCATGGACATCAGCATCGCCTCCAGAAAGCAAAACATTTTCAACATATGCTGCATTAGTGGGTGAAAATCATGAAGATATGACCAGGTCACATTGCATATATATATATATATATATATATATAAATCACATAAGCATACAGAGGTCTGTAAGATTTGTTTTTGAAAGATTATGTTTGAAAAAAATTTATGTTCACCAAGGCTGCATTTATTTGATCAAACAGTCAAAAACAGTAATACTGTGAAATATTATTACAATTTAAAATAACTTTTTTTATTTTTAGATATTTTAAATGTAATTTATTCCTGTGATGCAAAGTTACATTTTCAGCATCATTACTCCAGTCTTCAGTGTCACATGATCCTTCAGAAATCATTCTAATATGCTGATTTGCTGCTCAAGAAACATTTCTTGTTATCATCAATATTGAAATATGTACACTTTGATGAATATAAAGTTTAAAAGAACAGTATTTATTTTAAAAAAAAAATAAAATTTTGAACAGTAGTGTATGACCTGGACATGTTCTTGACAGGTTTAATATGATCACCTTAAAAGCGATACATGAACAGACAAGCCACAGTATCTCTATTTGTTAATTTTCATTAGTAGTTAAATTACTTTCTGATTACAAGAAATGTCTCTCAACTGCAGTGGTTTTCAGAAGTCCATATGTGTCGATCAATGAGGAGCCAGAAGAGCTTGTGATGTTTTACAGGTAATCCTAACCTCTCGGTTTTATCTTCCCAACATGTTGCTAAAAAAGCAAGAGAGGTTAATATTCATGTTTTAGCATCACATACGAGACTGTTGTGATCGAAAGATGGCAATTTAGAATGATATTTAATGAACAAAGTACTTATTGTACAAACACAAACAAATGGTTATTAATACAAATAAACGGAACAACGAATGCATAGTAAACTAAAAGTCAATGTGACTTATTTTACATGTATACAGTGTTGGGCAGTAACTAGTTACTGTAATAATATTACTTTTTGCAGTAACTAGTAGTGTAACTAATTACTAATAAGATTTCAGTAATAATATTACAGTTACCATCCATAAAAGAGCTAGTTAGTTACTTTTGATGCCTCAACCCCTAGTGATTTGAAATCCAACACTCCAATAATTCCTAGATGTATTTATAATTTTCACGACTTGCACAGGCACAAGAAGTCACCAGTGCATCAGGAAAGCTTGGAATATGGAAAAAAACTTACATTCAGGGGATGGAAATATTGCCATTACACTGATTTTGTCAGGAGAAATCAGCTGATCTGAACATAGATGTGTAAGTTGTGGCATTAATTTACTCTGGTATTACATGGCTTGCTCACCCACATCCCTCGATCTGATCCCGATATAAATTATATTACTATAATTAAAAATCTTATGAACTTGTGTGATTTCTTTTGATAAAATAGATCATATTTGGGCAACAGAGAACTTATAGCTACAATTAGCTTCAAGCTACACATGACAATTAATACAACACTTTTACTTAAAAGTCACTATCAATCACTATTGAGTGTTTGTAAAAACTTCTGACTGCAATCCAATGTAGAATTTGGTCAAATGATGAGGCAGAAATATATCGTTAGTAACATTTTTGAAGAATGTTATGGGGAAGATACACAGTTACAACTTCTGTGGGGTGTGAAGGAAAAGTAGTGTAACTAGAAGTGTAACTAATTACTGTGTCCAGATAGTAATAAGTAAAGTAATAATATTACTTTTGAGAGGAGTAACTAGTAACGAGTAATAAATTAATTTTTTGGAGTAACGAGCCCACACTGCTCGTATATTTGCACTTGTGTTTAAAATATGAAAGCCTATGTGACGTGTAACAACCTTCATCTGCCACACTCAAAAGAGATCATAAAATAGACATGAAAGTAAAGTAGGCATACTCAAACGAAAGTTTGAGCAGAAGTCACAGTCACAGCAGAACCACTGCAACAAACAAAACACACTTTCATTCATTGTTTGCGTTTTCATTGCTGGAGGAATCATCTTTTTGGAACGAATCAGTTGAATGAATGATTCAAGACTCACTTATGAATAATTGATTTGTTAAATCAAATAAAAATTAGTGTGTCAGATTGGTCGAGATGCTACATAGAATAGTTGTTTTAGAACAAATCGATTGAATAATACGATTCAGTGACTCAGGACAGTCGTTTTCATTGCTGGAGGAATCATCTTTTTGGAACGAATCAGTTGAATGAATGAGTCAAGACTCACTTATTATAGAATAGTTGCTTGTATGGTTCTTGAATGAACCAGTTGTGTTTTTGAACGAATCTGCTGAATGAAGGATTCACGACCACTTATTAGGCTAGTTGCTTATTTCGTGCCTAAATGAATCATTATGAAGGAGTCATTCACTCAACTGATTCATTAAGGCCTGACGCCACATATTGGTGTAGCCTATGTAACCTGCAGAAAGAGTCACTGAACAATCTGGAGCTGCATATGTGCTCACTGGAAGGACTTCTGACCATCTGTACAGTTCTCAGTATCAGTATCATGAATTATTTATTTGATTAGTGACCTAAAGTGCAAATCATTGCTTTTTCAGTTCAAAATCAACAGTTTCAGGTTTGAGTCCCAGATTTTACTATGTGGTCTTAGACTTATGGACCCCACTGTAATTCCCTATAAATAAGGACTCTTAATATGTAAAATATTTTATACTGTGTTATACTCACATTTATTTTTGAATGCAACATATATTTGTGTATATGTTTTATGATTGTTTTTAGAGTGCATTAAAAACTATTGGGGACCTACACAGAACTCCAAGTTTGTTTGGAGAATGATTTTATATATATTTCCTTCACTGAAAGTGAATGTGAATGTGGGCAGACAAAGAAATAAGGTGTGTTATGAAAGCGAAGACAAAACCAACCAATAAAGTCAAAGAGCGTGAGAGAGCGATCAGAAGATTGCACGAAAGAGGGAGAATAAAAATCAAACCGGTCACAATCAAAGCTAAGGTAAGCTTGAACATGTATTATAATTTCTTAGAACCAACCTTCTTATAATTTTGAATGTACAGTAATTGTATTAGAGGGCAGAATATCAAAAGCAAGCAGGTAATAGGTAAAGGAGTAATAGGTAATGGATAGCACAAGCCTACTTTTAAAACATTTTATCTGGTCCATTGGCATTCATACATATGGCTTAAGAGACCAAATATTTTTGGGACCACTGTATATGTTTAAACTTACCAAAACAGTTTTATTTACTTTTTTAATACTGCATTTAACTCCGTTTATTATCTGAACGTCCCCTCTGGTCAATGGTGGCATGGCAAACTTTCTGTAAAGGGGTGACAGATAAAAGAAAAATATAAAAAAATAATAATAATTTAATCTTTAGACTGTCTTGTATGTGTCAGGGTTAGATTTCTGTGGGTATTACAGTTGCGTTTCGAAATAAGGCAGCAGGTGCTGAGAATCTCTCACACAGCTGCAGCAGTTTTCCCCCTCACTTGTGGTTTTGCATTTTCTGTACAGTGTCTGTATAGTTCTCTATCTGTCAGATCTGGGTTAAATGCAAACGAGCTCCTCTAAATTATGTCTGTATATCCAAATGAAGCTTTAGAGACGACAGTGACAAAACAAGGAGGGGCATTCATTATTGTAAAACTTGTAGTTCCCGTAACCTAGGTAATGTATGATAATGTAATGATGCAATCTGCACAGCTGTAATACAACACTGTTGAGAAAAAAAAGTCCAAAACAAGAACCAATTCAGAAATGAAATCAAAAGTAGAATTTCTCTGGAATTTAGAAGATTTAGATGTAGATGGGTGTTTAACTATGGACAGTCATATTGAAGAAAATCAATTCTCTTAAAACACTTTTCACACTCTAACTAGAGTTTAATGTTTCTATAATGCATTACAGGGAAATTCTGTTATGCATGTCATTTTTATAAAACCATGAACATTTCCTCCACACCTCAAATTCTGTATTGTATTTAAAGCAAATAACATTTTAGAAATAACATTTTGAACATTTTTGGAATAAAACGGCCAACTGTCTTGCTAAGGCTAATTTCATTTTAGATGTCCTGAATAAATAATAATCATGTTAAAATATTAACCATAAATGAAAATATTAAAATTCTTAATTGTCTCATATTTCATCTCAAGCTCTCAAGCTAAATTATTCAGAAAAATAAGATTTTCTTATCAAAGTGATAAAATGTTGTGTTGCAAAAAAGAGGACAGTGGTACAAGAGGAATACCAAATCATAGTTTTAAGTGTGAAAATTTTGCAAAAGTAGCAGAAATTTAAAAACAGTGGACTTGTGACAAGGCCCTTGAAATCTTGAAAGCGTTTGCTTAGTGACGAGTGATCTTTTTCTAGCAAAAAAATCACTCGTCACTAAGCAAAAGCTTTCAAGATTTCAAGGGCCTTGTCACAAGTCCACTGTTTTAAAATTTCTGCTACTTTTGTAAAATTTTGTAGCTTTTGCCAGCTACGAAAAGAGTGACTGTTTATCTCAAGATGCAGCCTGTAGAAGTGACATGAATGGTTGTTGCCCACAATGGAACTACCTACTGTAGCCAAAGCACAATAAATAATATGTATTTTTTACGATATGTATTTTTCCCAGTTGAAATCCTTCAATGGACATGTATTTCACCCAATCCTAACACTCTTGAGCACCTGTGGAGGATTCTGTAGAGACGAGTTGACCAAAGCATTCAAGGAGGTCGTCCTCCAGGAGTTAAACAGGACAGATGTGACAATTTGTCATGAACTTGTACGCTCAGTGCCAAGAAGTGTCAGAGCAGTACTTAAAATTATGGAGGACATACTAAATACTAGAATACTATACATTTGTTGAATTAAATCTAAGGTGTACTCATTTCTGCAGTCCTTAATTAAAAAATTGGCTAATTTATTATTCTACAGATTTGATTGACATATATTTCTCTGTTTTTATTAAATATATGTTTAATAGATTTCAATTTTGCCATCTTTCCATGAATTGTATTAGTGGTCGTTAAGAAAATACATATTTTGTATTTATTGAGAGGGGGTGTACTCATTTATGCTGTGCACTATTCTGTACATATATATAAAAATAATGAAGGCGTGACACCAGTACACCAGTTGAATCTGTTGAATCAATAAGTGGCTGATGTCTACACTGTGAATGTGATGTGTTCAGATGTCAGGTGTGATGGGAGAGGACAGTCTGGTCCCCAGAGCGCGCAGCAGGCTGCCGGTGGTGTGTACTGGTGGACTGGGGCTTCTTACTCTGCTGTTTGCTTGGCTGCTGGACTCTGACAAGTTCATTGAGAGAACTGGAATGATCGCTTTTTGCATCACAGTAGAAAGGTTTATTCACAGTATGTGCTTGTTTGCAGAGGAGGGGCTCTTCCACTCAAAGCAAAGGTTAGAAAAGAAATTGTATACTTCGTATGTCCTTGCATTATGCAAATTAGTTGCAGAATGTAATCATTTTATTTAATTTTTTTACTTTAGTGTGAAGAACATTTAGAAAATCTAAAGAACCTTTTTCCACTATTTTGTGGAATGGAAAACTATGGATATTAAAGGTTCTTCATGAAACCATAGATGCCAATAAAGAGTGTTGGATGAAAGTATTAAAAAAATTTATTACTTCATTGTATAATATGCTCTTTTCCAGGTATCGTGGCAGAATAAATGAGATCTTTCAGACTTGCTTTAGAGGGCATGTCATTTTAGGAATGTGTGCAATATTCCTGATGCTAAAGTTGCAGTGGAGTTTCTCTGAAGAGCAGTGGAGTACCATGGCCCTCATGTGCGCAGTTTACCTGCTACTCAAATGCTTGGGGGTTCTGGTAAGATTAATCACATGGCAGGAGAACAAAATGTCTAAATCAAAAGATTATGTGAGCAATATTCAGTACTTACTTGTTCAACTGGTTCAGTTACATGCTAAAGGAACAGTCTACAATGTTGCACAACAACTTCCAAGTGGTCTACACGGCTGAGTCTATACTGAGTGTGCAATTAGAGGATCTTCAAAAATATCAGATAGTCACACTCAAATAGTTTGGAAGGTAAAAGACATGCTACATAGGAAACATAAAACACAACCAGCACTCATTTAACACAGGGTGGTCACTGACAAAAAAAATCGTAGTTCAAATTCAAAGTTAAAATAAGTTCACTGTATGCATTATATCACGATCAACTTAAATGTGCTGTATAATTTCAGCTACTTCACTTCCGTACAGAGACTGGTGTGATTCATCAGGACACCTGTTTTTTTTTTATATTGATTCTGATATTAAATAGCTCAGGGATGTTCAAAATACCCCTGTGGATTTCTACTTGCAGTCTTTCTCTTCAGCTCAGGTTTCCAACTAAAACCACATCTCATTTTTAAGATTTATAAATTGGTCTTAATATTCAATATTACACGTCATCCTCCACAACCGCTTGGTTCATTACTTGTTCTTATCTTCAGAATGACTGTGGAAGCTAAAATTTGCGTTCCAGCCACACATTTATCTCCACAAACATCTCACTCAATTTCAGTTATAATTTCTTACAAACAACTATGTGTTTGTACTGCAACATAGCTGTGGACGATCAAAAATAAAAGTAAAACAACTGACAAAACAATACAAATAAATGAAACAAGTAAAATAAAAAGTATTTGTATATTTGTATATGTTTGCAGGGCCCTTGTCCAGTTGAGATCTCAGAAATCTGTGAAATGAAGAAGATGAATGTGGCACATGGTTTGGCCTGGTCTTTCTATATCGGCTACCTCAAATTTGTCCTTCCAGGTACATTCCTTAGCCCTCTACATTGTGAGACGATACTTGAACTGCTCTTAGTGAGAAGAGTTTGCCCTGTGCCCATAAAAGGAGGCGTTGAACCAACCCTGTGAAAGAAGCGTGACTAAAAATCAAAACCGAAAGTAAAACGCGCACATGCATTCAAAAGCAATTTTAACACCCCGCGTTTTGAGAGCGACTCCCTGATGCGAGCAAATTAGGCTACATAACGTATCTACATTAGGCAAATTAGGCTACATAAGATATCTAGGCTGTTATTAGTATGTAGGCTATAATAGGTTGTGTAGTTGATACTTCTACCACTCAACGCAAAAGTTCCATTCAAACCTGAAGAGGAGGACACTAATGTAGTCTTCCAAGAAAACCTTCCAGAACTGGAGCGTGACACAGCAGGGGTGCGGAAACGCAGCTACAAGAACAGTGTCTACAAGATCATCCAGAATAATGAGGTGGGCTAATGCTGGTACTGTATTACTGGTAATTGAAGTCCTTTGATACTGGAAATGATCAAGAACTTTAAAAAAAAAAAAAACAATTCCAAAGCACGAGTCTATCCTTTGATTCAGAGATAGATGTGTTGTCTACTAATTCACATGCTTCTAGTCTGAATTTGTCTGGTGTTGAGAAAGTACATACTTTTAATATGTGTAAAGGTAATATGCTAGTATTAATGCAGAAGTTTGCACACTTTGAATCAACAGAACCAATTGCTTCGCAAAATGAAACGCCACATGCTGGTGATTCCTGCTGGTCAGAATGGTGTAAATGCATTGAAAACATGCATAAAATCACCTTTTACAAACCAATTGCAAATGTTTAATTGAAAGTGTTATCTATTAAATCCAAAAACATCTAATGCCATTAAAACTGTCTACACAATTAGTGTTATTTTATTCAACTGTAGAGCTTGTTTTGTTTGTTTTATGGAAAGCTTGATTATTCAGGTTAATAGACTATGAACTACAACTCTTTTTTATTATACAAATGTGTCTTTAAAAATGTCTTATCAAACAGATCTGAGATCAGGTATAGACACTGATTCATGGGCTCACAGAATCACACCCTAGCAGCAAACCACTGAAATTTTCAAACGTATCGATACAGTTTTGGTGTAACAAAGCCTCGTTTACTGAAATCACGGCAGTTTGATACTCGCTCTGAATCAACAAATGATCCACAAAGGTTTCGAAGCTTCACAAAGCGCCAATCACTAGCACACTTTTTCTTCAAAACCATCTAAATGTTTATGCCTAAAAGCTTGTAATTACATTAAGACAAATATAAATTGTTCCCAGATAACATAAATTGCCTTAAAATAAATGAATTGCATTAAAATATATTATTACTTAACGTTTATGTTTACAAATTGAAAGACAACTGTGGCAGCTTTGATCTTGTATTCTTCACCAACTGAAAATGTCCAAAGCAAGAGTATTTGTTATACTAGTGAGTTTCAGTGTTATTTTAGCATCATTATAATATTTTGAATTAGATATGTTTTCACTTGAATTGTAGTTAAAGTTATACTAATTTTGTTGTTTTCTTTCTTTTTTCTGAAACAAATATTTCTAGTTTTTGTTCATTGTTATTTATTATTCAAGTTAATGAAAAGTTGCCTTGGCAACTAGCTAAATTATATATATATATACACACACAAACCCGATTCCAAAAAAGTTGGGACACTGTACAAATTGTGAATAAAAACAGAATGCAATGATGTGGAAGTTTCACATTTCAATATTTTATTCAGAATGCAACATAGATGACATATCAAATGTTTAAACTGAGAAAAATTCTAAAAACACATAAGACTTTTACATAAAGATGTTCTGAAAAGACTTCCTGTTGCTCTAACACGATTTTACAAGAAATAAAATTTATTTTTGCCTATAAAAAAGGTAACCTTAAAATGAATGTCTTCATATTTATATATTCATGTGTAGGTTTTTTCCTTACCGAAGAACTACTAATAAATGTAGTAGTGTCAGGCTACTAATAACTTCTTAATAAATGCTGTTGAAAAAATTCCTTGCTTCTTCCAGTGAAACAGCTCTCCTCTGACTGACTGTGTTACTTTCCATGTCCTGCGGCAGAACAGTTACAATGAATGAGAGAAACTAGTTTAAACAAGTCGTGATGATGGAGGTGATTCATAACACTGGAAATAATTGAAGATGAATCACTACACTACTTGTCCATGACTAACATGTTTTAATCTAACATTTATCCACAGAACAAATATCGTATCCAGTTGATGTAGCTAATTTGAAATGATAATTTATAAAGTGCTTATTCTGAAGCTGTGCAATTTAACTGAGCATTTTTTTTTATGAAGTAATAAAATAGTCCATCAGGTTTCTGCAGCTGGGCTGATGCAATTTGGCTGATGGATTGATAAATTGATTTATCGGACACTGATAAATGAAAACTAGCAGGTGTTAAGTTTATGAATGGTTCTTTTTACAGTGAATAATTATGTTTGAAAATCTATGTACAATTGCATGAACATTATATATATATTATTATATTATATTACAAATATTTCTAATCATCTAATCACCTTTTTTCATGGTTTTGGTTAACTGTAATAACCCTGGTGAGTACAGAAACATACTTATACAATCAACCAGAAATACTATACCATCCAGGCACCACTGGCATACTGGTGTTCAAGTATGCATTGAAATAGTGCATTGAAATAGCAGGGATAGATAGATAATTTGCAAACTGGGATGCAGCAACACAAATATTTAGCTGTCAAAACAGCATCTCCTTGTGGCTAAAAAAACTGTAGTGGCACCGAAAATAAATCCACGGTCTTACCTTCTCTTTGTGTTCCTGTTCCTAGGCATTTAGCTGTGTTCTGGAATATGCCACACCACTGCTGACACTGTATCAGATGTCCCATGAGAGCAGTGCAGGGTTTGGAGAGAGAGAACGAAAACAGCAGGTCCTGTTGTTCTACAGAACCCTCAGCCAAATTCTGGAAAATTCTCTAGAGTGCCGGAACCGTTACCGGCTCGTCCTGCTCAATGGTCAGAATTTCATTCAAATTAATGAAAGGCTTTTAAGTCTTGTTCCTGAAATGATCAAAATGCAGTCTTTTAGAGATTGAGATAGACTTTAAAATCATATCTGGATATAATTCCTACAGTGGTTCCTCTCAGTGTCCATAATGCTGATTTCATACATCTGTTTTTCAGATGAGCACACAGGTGACCCTCATTACCTCTCCAGAGAGATCATCCAGCACCTGAAACAGCAGGATGGAGAGATTCACATGGATCACATCCAAGAGCCACCGAATGAAGTCCAGCCTGTTCCAGAAGAGGGTCCGATTGGGAATATTAATGGTGCACTGCGTGCCAATTTCCCAGAAGACCCAGTGAGCAGCAACCCAACCCTCATGTTCAGCCAACCACAATCTTTAAGATCTGAACCAGTGGAGACCACTGATCATTTTAACCAACCTAATGCAAGGAGATGGGATTGAGTTCATGAGTTCTTAGAATTATTTAATAGAATTTGATATAATAATAAGAATCCATTAAATCAGCTGCTCATAACCACCCTTATTTTCTCTCTGTGTTGTATTTTATTTTATTTCAGTTTATGCTTATTTCAAGCAATTATAATGTTTTTGGTTTTAATTTTAGTTAAGGACAATAACCCTGCCTGAACACCTTACAATGACCTCAAAATTAATTTGGACACCTGTGCCACAAATAAATGTGCACATGTATTAAATGTAGCATCATTTATTTACACATTTTGATATTATATAGGGTTTTTTATGCAATCATCAGAGACACATATCTTTGTTGAAAGATACTACTAACACCTAAAAACACATAAGACTTTTACATAAAGATGTTCTGAAAAGACTTCCTGTTGCTCTAACACGATTTTACAAGAAATAACATTTATTTGTGCCTATAAAAAAGGTAACCTTAAAAGGAATGTCTTCATATTTATATATTCATGTGTAGGTTTTTTCCTTACCGAAGAACTACTAATAAATGTAGTAGTGTCAGGCTACTAATAACTTCTTAATAAATGTTGTTGAAAAAATTCCTTGCTTCTTCCAGTGAAACAGCTCTCCTCTGACTGACTGTGTTACTTTCCATGTCCTGCGGCAGAACAGTTACAATGAATGAGAGAAACTAGTTTAAACAAGTCGTGATGATGGAGGTGATTCATAACACTGGAAATAATTGAAGATGAATCACTTCACTACTTGTCCATGACTAACATGTTTTAATCTAACATTTATCCACAGAACAAATATCGTATCCAGTTGATGTAGCTAATTTGAAATGATAATTTATAAAGTGCTTATTCTGAAGCTGTGCAATTTAGCTGAGCATTATTTTTTTATGAAGTAATAAACTAGTCCATCAGGTTTCTGCAGCTGGGCTGATGCAATTTGGCTGATGGATTGATAAATTGATTTATCGGACACTGATAAATGAAAACTAGCAGGTGTTAAGTTTATGAATGGTTCTTTTTACAGTGAATAATTATGTTTGAAAATCTATGTACAATTGCATGAACATTATATATATATTATTATATTATATTACAAATATTTCTAATCATCTAATCACCTTGTTTAGTTGTTCGGTATAATTTTTTTTTTTTACAATTTCTTTGTCCACAGCTTTTAATCACCTTATCCTGTTATAACATTCATTCATTCATTTGTATTTATTTGACATGTAGTTTCTCAATTAATATCGGGTCATAAATATTCCTAAACTACTTTCATCTGTAGCAGACAATTCTGGGAATATTATAGCAACGTTAGAAACGCTTTGGACGATAAAAACAAACCAAAAAAAAAACACTTAGTTACACACACTGTAACCATGTAACTGAAACCAAATAAAACATTATTATGCTAATAATTTAGCAGTTAGAAAATAAATTACATTTTTTAAATTATAAAATATAAAATCATGATATATAGTATTGTATTCTTTTATTAAATAAATGAAATAAATCTAACAGTAAAAAATGCTTTAGATAAGACTTCTGAAAGATGTAGATTGAGGGTTTTCCTGTGAATCAAATCATCCATCTAAGCGGCTGATTGAAAGAACATGTCCATCAGGTTTTGTTTTGACATTAATGGATGAACTATCACGAGTTTCACTATCATCCGTTTGTGATCAAAATCAACAAAGACTAGAGTCGTGAGGAGCTGAGAACTGGACAGGAGGAATAAACTAAACATATTTCAAAGCATACTGCTTGTCTAAGGTTATATGAATGTATTTTCTTAACAGCTGATTCAGTGAAGACACACAAGCATATTCTGCATGTCACTCCATGGTCAAAGGTTTCCAAATAGTTTACTCTTCCTTCCTTGTTCACCCACTCCGTAAACGAGATCTGTGGTTAATCTGTAACTTCTGGAAGGTGGTTCTACAGAAGTCTCTTCTAGTTCCTCATTGTAATATCGAAAGATGGTTCTCCATTTCTGCATACTTGAGTGAGGCAATGTGACGTCACAGCGCCAGAACAAAGATGAGATCACGAGGAAAAGTCCCTCATCGTGACTCAGAGACAGACAGAAGGCAAACAGGCACTTGCTGATGATGGCAGTATAAGACTGTAAAAGCACTTTCTAGACCAAACCTGCAGAAGATCAGACTTAAGTCACAGATCTCTTTTCTTTGGCTTTATTATTTACTTCATTAGAGTACAGTAAACTAGTGTAAACGTGTTTCCTGGGTCATCCACATTTCATAGAGAAGGCTGCTGAACTGGATTTTACTGATCGCGTGTTTGTCTTTCTGGTCATGTGAGTCTCACCTGTGAATAATCACACCTCATCTCACACTGTCTGAATCACTTTCTAGAAATCACATTTTTAGTACAGCACATACTTGCCCATGAGCACGTATGCGCATGTGTGAGGTCAATTTGTATCAGCTGTGAAAATAAACATATTTTAGTCTCCTTTACACTAAATTTCTTTGTCTAATTGATCAATTATTAGGATAATAATTTTGTTTTGTTTCATGTTTCAGTGTTTGTATAAACAAATGTTGCTATAATATTCCCATAATGGTTTGCTATAGATGAAAACAGTTTATATAAATATTTATGACGTCACATTATTGTTTCAGAAACTACATGTAAAACAAATAAATAATAAATAAATAAGCAAGGAAGCATGGCAGGATTAGTGAATTAGGGAAGAAAGGTCAAAGTTGATTACAAATTGTGGATAAAGAAAGAGAAAAAATAAAATAATAAAAAATTACACAAAACTGGGGGGAAATGATACCCCCATAATTGTCTGATACAGATGGAAGTAGATTAGTAATGTTTGTGATCTCATATTATTTGAGAAACTACATGTAAACAAACAAATCAATAATTGAATGAATGAATATTGCAGGACTACTTAAATGAATTAAAAAAAAGCTAAAAGTTGATTAAAAATGGGAAAAAATAGTAGTAAATAAAATACAATAAACAAACAATAACATAAAATAAATCATAATAATGCTATAATATTCCCATAATTGTCTGCTACCAGTTAAAGCAGTTGTTTATGACCTCATATAAATGTCATTTAAATAATAATATAATAAATAGGCCTATTGTAGGATGATTTTAGTGCATTTTTATAAAAAAAGTTAAATGATTAAAATAGTTGAAAGAGAAAAACATACAATACTAGAACAATACTGCACGACTATATTTAAGTGAATAAAAACAAACAAACAAAGCTTAAAGGTGATTTGAAAATGTGGAAAAAGAAATAGTGACCAGTCAGATAGTAAAATATTAAATTTTCATAATAGAAATATATAACATTTAGCTCTAATCCAAAAAGTTAATGTTCATGTTATTTGTCAACTAGGCCTGCTGTTGATTTAAAATAAGGTCTATATAGAATAGAATAGAGTAATAGAATAGAAACGCAAGAAGCTGGTTCGGTTGCATGTACTAGTGCAGTCTGGTCTGATTTAAGCTCTCTCGGCTTTGCGTCATGTCGCCCATCCCACAAACTTCAGCTGATGCAACATCACAGACAGCCCACTCAACTCAGTATAAAACCGGCTGCCGCGAGAGGAGCAACACATCTCCGCCTCTCGCATTCATGGACGGAACAAAGAAACAGTCAGTGGAAGAGTTTGGCGAGCTCTCGGGGAAAGACTCGGAGGAAATCACGTTAAAATGGTCTATACACAAGCTCTCGTGTTCGGGAACGGGATGACCGTCAGGAGCGAACAGGAAAAGCTAGCGGAGGACCTGAGCTTTCTACAGCACTTCAGATCCGACAGAGACAAACTCAAACACTGCGGCAGACTCATGAAAGCACAGAGCTCATCAAGTAAGTATCTTATTCCTGTCTGTCCAAACCAGCAATTGTAGGGGAAACCGGGGCAAGTTGTCACAGGCGCTCTGTCTCACTAACTATAAAGTCAAAAGTTTCGGTTTTGCGTGTTGATTTTTAAATAACCTAGTTCACAAATGTTAATTTGGAATATAAAAAAAACAGGATGTCATTAAAACAAAGGTCAACTAAAAAGTCCAATGAATGCTGATGCCAGGCTGTCACGTGTTTTGTTCCTATTTTATTAATTAAATTTTTTTATATATTTTGAAAATGACAGAATATTCCCATTCTGACAACTAACCCCGTATAGCGTGACAACAAAATGAAACAAAGGTCAACTAAAAAGTCCAATGAATGCTGATGCCAGGCTGTCACGTGTTTTGTTCCTATTTTATTAATTTATTTTTTATATATTTTGAAAATGACAGAATATTCCCATTCTGACAACTAACCCCGTATAGCGTGACAACAAAATTTATTAAACCTTTCTTTTAATGTTCAATAGCTTTTACATTAGACGTGATTAGATGGCACTCATATGAGCAGGGATCATGTACATTGTTTCAGTTTTCCAAAATTGCAGCATTCATTCTGGCCATGGTCCATGACAGCTTAGATCAGCTGATGGCACTGTATTACAGGCTGACGGTCTTAGTTTCTTGATCCTAATCTAATGAGCCATCGCTCACTCTCTCAAACTGCTGAGGCGTAAAGTTCCTGTCTGATCAGCTGAGCCTGACACAATCTATCTATTTACTCATTCACAGGTCTGGGATCCGAGTGCAGTTTGGAAGAGGAAGGAGAAGATGATGTGTGTCTTCAACTCGGCCTATCCAAACGCATTGAGAAGTGCCTCTATGAGGCCAAAGGAGCCAGTCTGAGCTGTCAGGAGCTGCGTCTGCCCCGGCGCATGACCACACGTGTGGCCGGAGACATTCTGCACTCATCCACGGATGAGCCGTGTGGGATACGAGGTGCACTGATCCACATGTTCATGGAAAGCAAAGGCACACTTCTGAAGCTGGGCACCATCATTCCCGATCAGAGTCTCACACCGACCTTCGAGGTCTCGGTGGTCCTGCAGCCTGATCTGGGCGGATGGCCTCCGCTGAAGATCCTGTTCGGAGGCGGGAAGGTCTTGAGCCTCAGACGGGAATATCGGCTGATCAAACAGAAACTCTACTCGTCCGCCACTCCTACTGTACTTGACTTTTATTAAAAGTGTGGTATTAAGAGTAAAAAGGAGGAGAAAATAATGCCTGAGGACGTCTCAGAGGAAGAGGACAAGTTTAGGAAAAGTTCACTTTGCACATCATTTCTGTTACATAAGTGTATTTCAGAGTTTACTGAAAGGTGTTTAAAAATGTAGATAATAACGTTCAGTTCAATGTCAGAAGTTGATATTGTGCAACTGACATTTCTAACACATTATGAACAGCTATGTTGTTATATAAGGCGATAGTAATCTTTGTTTTGAACAATGGCTTGTAAGGTTTCATTCTCAGCTCTAGAAAATGCTAGCTCTAGCTCTAATTTCTAACCATCCAGTGGTCAGGACGGTGGTACATTCAGCTTTTTTAAAAGGCCAGTGATGACAGCTAAATTTGTGACATCAAGTCAAAAACTTTTAAACAACTCCTCTAAACTCAAACAAACACAAGGTCAGTTTGTCCTGTCCCGTGAGTCTAGTTTCAGAGCACACTTGACCAGTTTTTCAGGACTGAAGGATTTCTGTGAAAGTCCTTCTGTAATTAGACTGTTGAATTGCTGTCAAACCACTGAGGCATTGAGTAACTAAACTTAGCCAGAACGTCTTAAAGAAACGGAAATAAAGCCTATTTGCACTTCCATAACAGCTGCAGTGAGACATCTCAGTTCACTTTTTCATCTTCATATCAGCCTCAATGGCACTGCGACGCCCTCTGGTGCCTCCATCCTGGAAGAGCAGAGAAGCAGGAGGCTGTGAGAAAATGCAAACAGCCTGTCATCCACTGCCCTAACACACCAGACCATCAGTGTGAGAAACTAACTAGCTTTGACCTGAGAACAGGAAGTGTGGGTGTGTTACCACTACAACAAGCCATTCATCTTAAAGAGACGGTGACATCAGAACTGTGCAATACATAGTTAAGAAATTGAAGAGTACAAGCTAGAAAAAAAGAAGAAAAAAAACTGAAAGAGCATTAAAAAAATGTGGTGTTCAGGAGTAAGTGAGTTAATAGTTAAAGCTGCTCATGGAAGAGTTGTGTTAGATGATTCTTGGAGATAAATAAAAACCATTTAAAAGGTAAGTTCAAGCGAAAATAAAAAAGTAAAATGAAAAAATATATATTTATACTACCATTCAAAAGTGTTTAAAAAAAAACTATGCTCACCAAGACTGCATTTAATTGATAAAAAATACAGTAAAAACAGTTATACTGAGAAGGATTCCATTTCAAATAACGGTTTTGTATTTGAATATATTGTAAAATGTATTTATTCATGCAAAGTTGAATTTTCAGCATCATTACTCCAGTCTTCAGTGTCACATGATCCTTCAGAAATCATGCTAATATGCTGAAAAATATTGTTGTGGAAACTGTGATGCATTTAATTCAGGATTCTTTGATTAATAGAAAGTTCAAAAGAAAAACATTTATTTGAAAACAATCTTTTGTAACATTAAAATATAAAAATAGTGTCACTTTTGAGCAATTTAATGCATCCTTGCTGAATAAAAGTATTCTTCTGGGGAAAGAAAAAAAAACGTACTCGAAAATACATTAGGGTTAATAAATTGTCTCAATTTTAATTTCTTAATGGATTATTCTGCTAAACATATCATGATACGCACAACCTTTTAGCATACAAACCTGGATATGTTCATAACAACATGGACCAAATTCAATCCTGGTGCAAGCGATCAGCTCTAACCAAACAGAGAACTGTGTCACAGAATACATGTGTGTGTTTGTGTTCGGTTAGAGGGGATGGGAAATAACTTGTGATCTTCAACCTGGATACTTACAAAGAGAGAGAGAAGGAAAGCAGGAGAGGCCATGGATAGGCTGTCCTGTAGAAGGACAAACAGCACAGTGAGAAAAAGAGAGTTCACTATTTAAAACCTATTCTAGAAATAGCCAGAGACAGACATGTACAACAAAGCAGGTGTTATGGGAGCAAACGGCAGGTATACTAATCTAAAACCCTGAGCATGAGATGGAAAACATCAGAAACATGTGCAGAGACTAGAATGACCAGACGTTTTATGAGCCATATCGCTTCGTATATCATCCTGATGGACTTACATTCACTTGTCCCATTAATTAGTCTTAACTTTAGTTTGGTTGCTATAAATAAACATTTTATACAGACAATGCAGTGATTTGATGTAGCCTTTAAAGGGTTAGTTCACCCAAAAATTAAAATTCTGTCATTAATTACTCACCCTCGTGTTTCAAACCCGTAAGACCTTCGTTCATCTTCGGAACACAAATTAAGATATTTTTGATGGAATCTGAGAGCTGTCTGACCCTGCATAGACAGCAATACAACTGACATGTTCCTAAGTCCAGAAACGTAGCAAGGAGATCTGTAAAATAATCCATGTTACATCAGGGGTTCAACCGTCATTTTACGAAGCTACGAGAATACTTTTTGTGTGCAAAAGAAAAAAAAACAACGACTTTATTCAGCAATTCGTCTCCTCCACATCACCCTGTAGCACCATTTTGGAGCGTATCAGCTGGACGTAAACAACGTATGCTGTTCTGTGTCAGCTGCATCACACGGATACGCTGTTTTCGTTCAGATCAAATCACAACAACGTAGGAAACAGATCCGGCGTGACGCAGCTGACAAAACAGCATACGTTATTTACATCCAGCTGATATTCTCCAAAATGGCACCAGGGTGATGCGGAGGAGACTAATTGATGAATAACGTCGTGTTTTTTTTTTTTGCGCACAAAAAATACTCGTAGCTTCGCAAAATGACGATTGAACCCCTGATGTAACATGGATTATTTTACAGATCTCCTTGCTACGTTTCTGGAACAGATCCGGCGTGACGCAGCTGACAAAACAGCATACGTTATTTACATCCAGCTGATATTCTCCAAAATGGCACCAGGGTGATGCGGAGGAGACTAATTGATGAATAAAGTCTTGTTTTTTTTTTTTGCGCACAAAAAATACTCGTAGCTTCGCAAAATGACAGTTGAACCCCTGATGTAACATGGATTATTTTACAGATCTCCTTGCTACGTTTCTGGACTTGGGAACATTTCAGTTGCGTTGCTGTCTATGCAGGGTCAGACAGCTCTCAGATTCCATCAAAAATATCTTAATTTGTGTTCCGAAGATGACCGAAGGTCTTACGGGTTTGAAACGACATGAGGGTGAGTAATTAACGACAGAATTTTTGGGTGAACTATCCCTTTAATGACAAGAGTGGATGGGATATCTGTTGTGTTCCCTTTAAAATATGAAGATATAAGATGAAAACATCTGTCGTGCATGTGCAAAATGATTGACAAAAGCTTTTAAGCAGAAACAGATGCTCTTATTTTATTGTTCTGACAATAAAATCTGAAAAAAAAGTGATTTAATATACTTTTAATAACAAACCTACTCATGATATTAATTATTCATTTTCATGTACACATTTAGCAGACTCACTCTTTTTAATCTGGCTAACAATTTACATTACCAGTCATCTTAAAAACATCTTACGATGACTTCAGGTCAACAAAACGTTTGCTTTCCATTGGCTTTTGTTTCCAGATGGTTGTGAATTAAAACAGAAACATGAACTTTCACAGCGGAATGGATTTGAACTCAGGTCTCCCGCATATAAAACATGTTGGAGGATGGAGCAGTTTTCTATCATGGTCATCTGGTCACCCTAGAAAGCTTCTCTGCATGTAGACACACGGCTGAGAAAGAAAAGGAGGATGGAATCAAGATGGAAAAAGGAGAATCCTAAGAATGTAGATCCTAAAGGGAGGATTTGAGGGGTTGATGAGTAACAGAGAGATGTGTATATATGTGTTAGCCGGATGAAGATTAAGGTGTTCATGTATGTGTGAGTGTGTTGTAACCGTTTCCATGACAACCGCAGCACTCCAACATAAACTCAAATAGATGGTGATGAAATGAGTGTCCAGTCATTTGAATGATCTCAGTCACACAGCAAAGAGCTCAGTGTGAATGCATCACTGAGACTGAAACCATGCAAACTAAATAATAAATAAATAAAAAACTTGCTTAACTTTGGTCTGGTGTGTGTTAAAAAATAAAAATGGCACACAGATTCAACAAAAGAAGACATCAAGAGGCTATTTAACCTAACACTTACACCACATACAGAAATATATTGTTTACAATAATCACATTTCTATCCTGTCTATAATAAGGTGATATACACTACTGTTCAAATGTTTGGGGCCAGTAAGATTTTTATACTTTTATTTAGCAGAAGTAATGACATTTATAATGCCGCAACAGATTTCTATTTAAAATTAATTCTGTTTTAACTTTGTTCATCAAATAATCCTGAAAAAAAAAAAATCCTGAAACATCACCATTTCCAGAAAAAATATTAAGCAAATGTTTTCAACATTGATAATAATAAGAAGTGTTTCTTGAGCACCAAATCAGCATATTAGAATGATTTCTGAAGGATCATGTGACACTGAAGACTGGAGTAATGGTGCTGAAAATTAAGCTTTGCATCACAGGAATAAAATACATTTTACAATATATTAAAATGGAAAACAGCTATTTCAAATTATAATACTATTTCACGATTTTAAAATATTTTTCTAGCATTTTTGATCAAATAAATGCAGCCTTTTATACTTTTATTTAGCAGAAGTAATGACATTTATAATGCCGCAACAGATTTCTATTTAAAATTAATTCTGTTTTAACTTTGTTCATCAAATAATCCTGAAAAAAAAAAATCCTGAAACATCACCATTTCCAGAAAAAATATTAAGCAAATGTTTTCAACATTGATAATAATAAGAAGTGTTTCTTGAGCAGCAAATCAGCATATTAGAATGATTTCTGAAGGATCATGTGACACTGAAGACTGGAGTAATGGTGCTGAAAATTAAGCTTTGCATCACAGGAATAAAATACATTTTACAATATATTAAAATGGAAAACAGCTATTTCAAATTATAATACTATTTCACGATTTTAAAATATTTTTCTAGCATTTTTGATCAAATAAATGCAGCCTTGGTGAGCATAAGAAATGTGTTTCAAAAACATTTAAAAAAAAAAACCAACTTACTGACCCTAAACTTTTGAACGGTATTTTGCATCTACACTCTTAAAAATAAAGGTGCTTCAAAAGATTCTTCAAGCGATGCCATAGAAGAACCATTTTTGGTTCCACAAAGAACCATTCAGTCAAAGGTTCTTTAAAGAACTATCTCTTTCTTACCTTTTTATAATCTGAAGAACCTTATTTCGCCACAAAGAACCTTTTGTGAAACAGAAAGGTTCTTCAGATGTTAAAGGTTCTTTATGGAACATTTAGACAAAAAGGTTCTTCTATGGCATCGTGAAGCACCTTTATTTTTAAGAGTGTATCTATCTATCTATCTATACACACACACACACACACTTAGAAAGCAGACAGACAGATAGATGGATAAACAGATATTCCGCCACATTTCTGAAAATGTTACATTATTCTGCGTATAACCACCCTTGTGATACAATCATTTACAGAACAACTAAGCCACAAATATGGTGCCATGTGGAAACCTGGAAGAGAAACTCGAGTGTTAGGCTCACTGTGTTTGTGCATGGGTTAGTACAGAAGTCACCTCACCTGCAGTGCCCTTGATTCTCACCTGCGAGTGCATGTTTGTGTGTGTACAGCACTGACCTTCTCATAAGTGTCTTGTTTGGAGTTGTTCCTTTTCCATCTGGCTGGTGGTTCTGGCTCTAAATGAGGGTCTTTGTGTGCAGGACTCAGGGTCTACATACGAGACTGTGTGTTAGTGCAAGTAACGCTAACCTTACTGTCAGGGACTTCAGCAGTTCACTCGTGTGTGTGTGTGTGTAAGGGACATAAAGTCTTTTATTTGGGTCCTATCAAGAAGGGGTTTCATGTGGAGCATGTGGAAACCAAATCGCTTCTGGATCAATCTTACGATAACATGACCAGCCCCATTTCTGCTCAAAACAAAAAAAGGTACAGTGCATTCTGAAAGAATCACTAACTTGCAATTCTTGTGTGTTGCAGCTTTAAAAAGGTTTTTTTTTCACATCCATCCACACTCCATAGTCCATAAAGATGCCTTTTTGTCTGCAAATTTTCATTTTCAGGTGAACTATTCCCTTAATAATTTATTAGTAAATAAACATTAAGATCAATAAATGCTAACTATTGTTATTTTCCCCAAATTCTCAAATTTTTTCTGAAATGCTTTGTTTTCATTTTTCATTAAATTAAGTATTAGTAATTAAAAAGCATGTCTATTCTCTTCTCAAATCATGAAACTTATACTATGTAACAACAATCTATTAAAAGTTTAACCAAAATGAAATTTTTAGGGCCCTATAAAATGTTTTATTTTTCACAAATTCCAAGGTTTCGGTTTAAATTTGTCCAGATTTCATTTTAATCATTTAAATACATGTTAATAAACAAAAAGCATGCCAAATTTATTTAATTCATGAAACTTTAACAATTTAATTGCTTTTTGAAATGCATTTTATTTCAGATGCATGCGATATTTCAGTTTTTTTTTTCGTTTTAATAAATGTGCAAAAACATTACAAGTCTGTTTTTAACTTTGTCATTATTGGGTATGGATTGTAGATTGCTGTGAAATTATGTGCATTTTAGCATAAGGCTACCACATAATAATATGTGAAAAAAGGAAGGGGTCTGAATACTTTCTAAGTGCACTGTATTTTATATTTGCCATAAAGAAAAACAGAACCATTTTCATGACAATTAAACATCTGGTTCTTATTTTGTGCTTCTCATTTTGGGGTGAAATATGAAATATGAAGTTTTTGACAAGTTTTGTGAGATTCACCATACAAGGTTTGCATTTCTGAGTTTGTACAGAAAGTATTTGGACAGTGAAACTTTTTCCTGCATTTCAGCATTTTTGGATTTTAAATAAAACTTAGCTCAGGGACTGAGTGCTGAAACGACACTTTGAGTGCAGCCATCCCATTAAGAGCTAGAAAATCAATTTGTGCAGATTACTTGTGAGTATTACAACGTCATGTGCAGCTTGTGGTCGCAAATCCATTTTGTGTTTATTGACAGCCATTAAGTCTGCAGGCTAAAGACATTGCGAGTTATATTTCCTGATGATGCATCAGTTTGTGCTTTCCCATTCAATCTCAGATGCACTGAAATCAGGTCAGTTTGCAGGTACTGGCTGTTTGGTGCCATTGCCAGCCGATAGTTTGAGGCAAATGGTTTTAAAACTATGTTTTCAGGACACTTTTGAATTAATGCTGCTTCAACAGAGACAGAATTAAGAGCCAATCCCACAGCGTTTTCCTCACAGATAAAGCTCCATGCTGTGGCGCACAGGAAGATGTTTTTCTACTTTCCTTTCTATGACTCCGAGCTCGCTCTTCCTAAACCGTTTCACTGTCCACAACACTTCACTTCAGATGTCTACAGACTCTTTGATGTACTTTGATGTCCCGTCCTTGAGACATTTGAAGCTTCTAGCCTGCTCTCTGAAAAACATCTCAGCCTATATCCTGGAAAAGGATCAAGTATCTTGATTTGTTCTAGAGATGCTATTTTTCTTAATGACTGCACATGCTGCTCACTCAACAATCCAGTGTTGTTATTGCCAACTAATAATTTTTAAAATAATTTTAGAGAATTTAAATAAAGATGTAATAAAATATAAATATTAGATTAAAAAATATACATTTAAATCTATAAAAAAAAAAAAAACTACTAAAAATGGCTAAAACTAAAATGAAAAATATATATGAAAAATAATAAAATATTTTTTAATATGAAATATAATAAAAACTATAGCAGTATATAATGTTAAAATAACTGTCTTAAATATATTTTAATGTGTTCCTGCTTCTTTAAGCTCTCTTTTGTCTCACTGAAGGATCTGCTCTAATACATCAATATAAGTTTGTTTATTAAATGTCACTGGCCAAATAATTAGCAGTGAAAGCGTTGTGATTATGTCTCCTTATAGTGCTCACTGTGCGTGTGTGTCTGTGTGTGTGATGATATTCCTCCAACCTTCTCCACAGCGTCATTTCCACTTGTGGTTTTGTGTGTGTGTGTGACTATGCATGTGTGTCCCTAACCTTCTCATTGGGGTCTTGTTTGCGGTTGGCCTCCCTTCCGCGCAGGCTCTTGGTGCTGATGCCTGATTCTGATGTTTGCATGATCAGCTGAGTGGCCAAGAACTGCTGGATCTGTTCCAGAACGTCCCTCTGCATCTCCAGGGCCATGTGGTAGACGTCATGATCCGAGCTGTTATACATCACCGCGTTCTGGAACATCAGCATGATGTCACGCTGGAACTCCGCCGTCGTGCGGATCTGCCCAGACTCGATGTTCTTTTTGATGGCTGATAGGTCCATCGGTCTGAGGAGGTGGAGATTTCAGAGATTACATCTTGGATGGTCTGAGGGTGAATACATTTTCTGCAAATTTTCATTTTCAGGTGAACTATTCCCTTAATAATTTATTAGTAAATAAACATTAAGATCAATAAATGCTAACTATTGTTATTTTTCCCAAATTCTCAAATTTTTTCTGAAATGCTTTGTTTTAATTTTTCATTAAATTAAGTATTAGTAATTAAAAAGCATGTCTATTCTCTTCTCAAATCATGAAACTTATACTATGTAACAACAATCTATTAAAAGTTTAACCAAAATGACATTTTTAGGGCCCTATAAAATGTTTTATTTTTCACAAATTCCAAGGTTTCGGTTTAAATTTGTCCAGATTTCATTTTAATCATTTAAATACATGTTAATAAACAAAAAGCATGCCAAATTTATTTAATTCATGAAACTTTAACAATTTAATTTATTTATTACAATTTGTATAATAATAGGGCCCTATGGACCATTTGATTAATTTCAGAAATTCTGTGTTGTCTCTTTAAATTTTTCTGGATTTATGATTTAATACGGCTTTATTATTAATATTCACAGATACTTGTCCATATCTTGATTTGGTTAAGTGTACTCATATACTTTTGATTTATTCACCCAAAATGTATCATTCGGTGTTATACAGTAAATTCCATTTTTATGACTGGATTCTATGATTATGTTCACATTTTCTGCATCACAGAAATCACAGGGCCCTACATACTTAAAAGAATAAGAGGGTCTCATCTTGATACCTGTGTACGATGCTGTGATAACCAGGGGCAATGTCATCAGACACAGGTTGCAGAAACACACTTGCATACCTGAAACACAAAACAATAAATGACAAACATTTACAACACATTTCTGTCTGCAGATCGGTGCTCATTACACAACAGCAGCTGAGGTAAGTATGAATGAGAAGCTCACCTGTGATTGGCTGCTGCCCGCCACACCAGCATGATGGCTTTCTTCCAGATCTTCTGAGCCTGCAAGGCCTCTTGATCTTCACTACACATGGAGCTGAGAGAGAGAGTTGTTAAAGGCAGACGAAAGATTAAAACACACATAATAAACGCTAACACACAAACATACACAGAGACACTCACAACTGTGATGAGGCAGGGCTGCTGGCGGTGGAGTCCGCTGTAGTGTAGCGCTGAGAGTGACTGCCGTATCCATCCTCACTCTCACTGGCAGGAGGATCAACCTCCGAGAGATACGGCCCCTCTCCGTCCCCATCGCCACACTCTTTCATCTCCATCCCTTCATCCACATCCACCTCACTGCCTCCATCCTCTTCCTTCACCTCCTACAGCATTTGAAGAAGGAATATTAAACAGAGGAATATCTGGAATAGCCTTCCTGATAACGTTCGGGGTTCAGACACACTCTCTCTGTTTAAATCTAGATTAAAGACACATCTCTTTGGCCAAGCATTCAAATAATGCATCTCATAATCTTGTACTGCAGTTATATCTGATCAAATGTGCATTATTATTCTTTAGCTTGGGTTAAACAAATCAATTTTGCTTGGTTGGAACAGCAGCTATGCTAATTATGTCTCTATTTGTTTCTCTGTTTTTGACTAGGATTTACACAAGCTTCAGTCTGGATCCAGAACACCTGAGAAGAGATGATGCAACCCCTCAGAGGACCTCAGATGATGCCAACCCTGAAACAACATACAGAACTACCACATTTTGCTATAAGTTTGATTGCATCATATAATAATTGCTGTTAATAGTGTTCATCGTCTGTTTGAGTACGTCTTTAATTGATTTTTCTGTGCATTTCTGCCATATGTACATTAACTGACAGTCACCACTGATAAGCTACTACTAAATATTGTAGAAACCTAATTTGCTGTAAAGTTGCTTTGCAGCGATTTGTATCGTAAAAAGCGCTATACAAATAAACCTGAATTGAATTGAACCGAATAGAGTTACTAATTCATCCTTCAATTCAATCTGTGAGAGAAATGCAGGGGGTTTGTGAAAAGTGTCAAATTAAAATAATTTAAAAATAAAAAACCCACTTTATTTTAGTGATGCACGATCATGATTTTTTCAAAGCCGATTCCGATACAGTTTTTTTACAAGCAAACTGGCCGATTCCAGTTGAATATGAATCCTATAGCCTACAGAACTGACGTTTACTTCTGGCTTTTCAAAAGTGCATGCCAGTTCTTCCTTACAAAAAGAAGCATTTCAGCTTTGTCACAAGTTAGTCTGTTTTGTTTCTCATCCAACACGTGAGAAGCTGAGCTGAACAAACGTTCACTGTCTACACTTGTGCAGGGCGCGGACAGGTACACTCGCGCAACTTGCAGGAAAGTGGCTCTTATTTGTGCACCAGTACACCAACGGCTGTTCGCTTCTTGGTATCTGTGCCTCAGACAGGTAGCTCTGCATTTCCAGTGCTGTACGGCTGCCCGTATCCTTAATCGCTTCAGATTTTTCTTCCAATATCTCATCGTGCATCGCCAACAATGAGCTTGCTCTGCATGGTATTTTTTTCTGCTGGTGCCTCTGTGCACACTTCCGGAAAAATCAGGACGAAAAAAATACAAAAAACTGGTCCGATTTATGGCCGGTCAACCAGTGCATCCCTACTTTATTTGCTTACCTGTATGTCATGTAACCATTAACAAACATCAGAGATCCAAGAACATTTGAATTTATTGTTAAATTATTAAAATCTCAGAGATATTTAAAAAATATTTCTGGGTTAAAAGGGTTAAAAGTATAGTTTACCCAAAATTGAAAATTCTGTTATAATGTCTTCATCCTAATTATTTGACTCTTGATCTTCTACAGAAAAAAAGTAGATTTTTGCAGAATGTCTCATTTATTTTGTTACTGAATCGTTTTCTTCCCATTCGGCTCAAATCTCATTTGCAATCACAGCCACTTAAATATAGCATGTCAAGACACTTCAGACCAGGTTTGATGCCCAAATCTGTGGCAATGCGCCTTGTCATACCATATTTGAATGCAAATAAGATTCAGGATTTCAGCCAAAGGTATCATTTTTAGTAAATAACTTACATTTTGGTCTTTCACTCATTTAAAGCTATCTTATGACTTCATAATACTTGTGCATGTGTCTTATAGGCTTTAGACTTTTATTGTGCTTTTTGTCATCTCTCTTTGCTCATTCACTTTCTAGAAAAAGACGTTTCCTTTAACATTTTATGCTTTTATCTGACGATATAATCATAAGTGATTATAATCATATAATTTTCCCAAACATATGATATGAAAACATGTTAAGATTGTTAAATATTATTACAATTTAAAATAACTCTTAGCTGATACCTTTGTGTCTTTTGCCGAGGCTGAGCTATCCTCTGAGTCCAGACAGGGCATCACGGTCTCTGGCTGAACCCAGTCTTCCCCCTCACACTTCACGGTCGGACTCGGGGTTCTGTTCTCCTGCTGCGTTTCCTCAATTCCTTCTTCTCCATCTCCTTGCCTCTCACCCTCCATCTTAACCACAGAGTCCTGGCTCTGCTCTGTGTCAGGGGCGGCAGGCACCACAGTGCCCCCTGTCACTTCGTCAACCACTTCGGTTTCTGTAGCCTCCTCTACCAGAACCTCCATTTCTCCCTGCACACCCGCGGGGTCAGGGCAGCTCTGCGTGACCGCTGGGGCAGGACTTTGCTGGACGATGGGCTCTGGTTCAGCTGCCTTAAAGGTCTGTGACTCCCAAGGGCTGGTGATGGGGTGGCCCCCGACCGCTGGGTCCTCACAGAGAGAGAGAGCCGCCTCCACCGCGGCTGCGTCCAAAGCCTCCACGGGATCGTCCACCTGAGACAGAAGTATTTGTATAGATCATTTCAGATTTGGCAACAGAAAGGAAAAGCTTTTGAACTATTTTCTGTTTTAAGAGTTTATTAAAAAAACGGAGGGAATCATGAAAGCGCTTGGTGGGTCAGAGAGTCAAATGGAACCCACTGACGTCCATGGTATTTTTTTCCCATACTATGGAAGTAAATGGTTACCGTCAACTGTTTAATTAGCAACATTCTTCAGAATATCTTATTTTGTGCTCAACCGAAGAAAGAAACTCATACAGGTTTGGAACAACTTGAGGGTAAGTAAATGAGGACAGAATTTTCCTTTTTGGGTGAACTATCCCTTTAACACTACATGAAGTAGCAACCAATCGCATCATCACAACTGTCCACAGGTGGTTGTATGCGTGTCTGTGTGTGTATACCTTCTCCTCTATGATTGCAATGATGTCTCCCACTGTCTCCAAGTCCAGTTCATGTGCCATGTATGACACCGACACCACTGTGTCCTCATCCACCAGCTCTGCCTCTTTCCGCTCCACCTCCGCCGGCGTGGACGACCCTGCCATTACTGCTTCTGCTCCAGAACCTTCAGCAACAGCAGCAGCTCCTACACACAACAAGAAACACATTTCTTAGAGTACTCTTACTATGGTTCATCTCTTTCATAAGTGCTCTGACACCCTTTAAAGGCTGAATTTGGCCTTTGAGGTCAGTGCCTTTTCTTTGAAAGAAATTATTACTTTTATTTAGCAAAGATGCATTACATTGATCAAAAGTGACAAATACATTTATAATGTAACAAACTATTTCTATTTCAAATGAATTCTGTTTTTTTTTTTTTACATTTTATTTATCAAAGAATCCTGAAAAAAAAGAAGAAAAAATAATACATAACTTTAATATGAACATTGATAACAAGAAATGTTTCTTGAGCAGCAAATCAGCATATTAGAATGATTTCTGAAGGATCATGTGATACTGAAGACTGGAGTAATGATGCTGAAAATTCAGCTTTGCATCACAGGAATAAATTACATTTAAAATGATAAGAACATGGAAACCGTTTTAAATTGTGATGAAGATTCACAGAATTACTTTTTCTTCTTGCATTTTGATTAAATAAATGCAGCATTGGTGAGCATAAGAGACTTCTTTCATAACATTAATAAAAATCTTGCTGACCACAAACTTTGTTTGTATTAACTGTTATTCTAAAATATAATCCAAGAACTCTAGCGCTGTAAGTGCAGTCTGAGTGATTTGTGATTGGATGAAGATGATGGGATGAACTACACATCACATGACACAAACAGACTGGCTGAGCAAAAACAAACTGACCATTAGGGCTGTCAAATTTTTTTCCCGAATTTCGAGTATTCATTCAATTTAAAATAAAAATCCACATTCGAATGCAAAAACGTTGCAGCCTTATCAGTGGTGCACTAGATGCGATGACTATGTAAGTGTAGTTGCATTATGTTTTTGTTAGCCTATCCAGTTGAAGCCACTAGATGCGGCGGTGCTGCGTTGTTCAATAAAAATATAGCGGAAAAAGAGAACATCAATGTGGAGAAGATCTTGTTTACGTCAAAACTGAAACCAAGCCGTTTACACAGAACACATATTTCGTGCATTTTCTAGAAGGACATCTATCAGCGTTGCACTTGAGTCTCGCACAAACGAGCTTGTTTAGAAAGCCATGTAAAATTAATGCAAGTTTAACTTAGAAAAAAACATATATCGAGACTTTATGGCGGGTTTTTTCCCCATACCACTGCATCTTATGTTTTTAAATGAAAAATGTACTCATTGACTTTCTGCCCTTTGTATTAAACTATGCATACATACATGATGCTGTTTTGTTTATAGTTGTTTAAGTAACTTAATTAATTATATTAATTAATTATAAACATTATTTTAAACATTATGCACTTTTTTCACAGATAGTCATGTTATCTTACTGAATAAACGTGCATTAGTAATATTTTGATCGATGCGCCCTCTTGTGGCCTCAGGAGAGAAGCCAAAAGCTTTTCTTCACCCTAACTGAAATTATGCATTTTAAATTCGAATTTTGATAATATTAAAAAAAATGTGAATTTAGTTTTTCAGACATTTTGACAGCCCTACTGACCGTTCTACAGAGAGTGCTGAAGGGAGGAAAACAGAGATCAGAGACCTGTTTTGGGCACAGAGAGGTGGTCCGGGGCTGGGGGGACCACTGTGGGGGGCTTAGGGGGATCAGCACTGACAGGTTGCTGCACTGGGGTGGCACTCTCCAACAGACGAGATAACGTAGGAGCATCTGACACAGAGAGACACACATACAGCGCTACAAACACACACACTAAAGCACACAGCTACTCTCACAATAATCAAACTATAATGTAATACAGAGAGCAGGAAATCTAAAAGTTGCATGCAGGACGCACGGTAAAAATGCAAAAGAATAGCCAAACCAATGCAAACAGCATAACTCAAAATTCAGTTTGTTCAATGACAGAAAATGTTTAACGTTGAAGAGAAGACATTCAAAGCACACATTTAAAACAAACAGAAAGAAGAGTGTCTGTGTTTACCGGCTGTAATGTCTTGATTAGCAGGCAGAGCGGTTGCAGCAGTGTGAAGCTCAACTCCATGAGATCCATTACTCAAACCTGTGGCCACGTCCCCTTCAACCACCTGCCCGGTACATACACACCCAGAACAATTTTATCTCCACTTTTAATGATAGTCAAGGTTTCTTGCACCAAAAACAATCATAGGTTTGTTTCTAATCTGCACTGGGTTATTATCGTTAACTAAAACGAACACTATTTGTAAAACATTTTTGTTAATTGAAATTAAGCTGAAATAAAACAAAAAATACATATTAAATGAAAAACCTTACATGAAAAATCAAAAACTTGCCTAATTAATATGAGAAAAATACTAATAAAACAACAACTAATAAATATGAGAAAAGAGCATAAGAACATTACTACAAAATGAAAACATAAAATACAAAAATATGGTACTATTGTAGTGTAACACCCATAGGAACGCTATAGAGCTGTCGCACAAAACTCTTTCCGACAGCGATTCTTTCAGAGGGGGATTAGCTCAGATGGTAGAGCGCTCGCTTAGCATGCGAGAGGTAGCGGGATCGATGCCCGCATCCTCCAATTATGGCAATCATTTAGGTAACTTAAATTAGGTACAACACTGAAAACACACAGAAGATGCAGTTTGAAATTATTGAGACTACTAAATACCGCAATGGTTGCATTTCCCTTATAGTTTACAGTTCCTTGTAGATATTTTAATAATGAAACATTAGATATTTGCTCTATAATAGAGATGGGAATCTGACAGGTAGCTCGCTTAGCATGCGAGAGGTAGCGGGATCGATGCCCGCATCCTCCAATTATGGCATCCATTTAAGTAACTTAAATTAGGTACAACACTGAAAACACACACAAAATGCAGTTTGAAATTATTGAGACTACTAAATACCGCAATGGTTGCATTTCCCTTATAGTTTACAGTTCCTTGTAGATATTTTAATAATGAAACATTAGATATTTGCTCTATAATAGAGATGGGAATCTGACAGGTACCAAACTCCATAAAATACGACTTATGTCACTGCAGAGCTCAAATTAATAGTGTAGTTTCCTTTGCAGCCACCAGGTGTCAACAGCACACTGCAATATACAGTATATGAATGCGAATAGCTATCATTCACACTTTTTGAGGGCCCTGAAGATCCTTCAAAATACCCACTTATGAGAGACTCATAGCCATTTTATTGTTAAGATTTGTTCTATTGAATTATATACTACTTATATAAAGATTTTCACAGTCACTATTGTTATGGCTATTGAAATACAGCCCACCCCCCACCTGTTAGTTCGGAGACCTATTGTATATTTAGGATCCCAAAGAGAAATCATTGTTACTAACAATAAGTTGTGGCCATCAGAGCTATTACTCTTCTTAAATGATCTGAACATGACTTGAAAGCAAACTGTACATCAAAAAGCTAATTCTGAAATGATCAAGCCACCCAGGATCTACCAATAATTTAAGCAGGCATACTTGTCTGAGAAAATGTGCTTATTTGTCAGGATGAACTACTGTTAACATATACAATATATTTTGTCAGCAGAATATACTTATCAGTATGTACCGCAATAAATGCGCCTTTGTCAGGCAGAAATTATGTGTAATCCTAACACTGGGCCTAAACTGGCAAGTACTGCAGTACAATAGTTACAGTGACAATTATATTTTAAAGCTATATTTTAAAGGCAACAAATGAGAATCAATCAGCAGCACTGTTTTGCTAACTTACGATTTTTAGAATAATAAGCATCAAGGTCCACCCCTAAACCTAACTGTAAGCAGCTCTGACAAAAGTATATGAATGAGATTGTACAAGATAAAGGAACTGTTTAACTTAAAATTAAAATTTGCTACAACGTGATTGTCCATTACATCTAGATTCATGTTTACTTATTTTACATAGGCGCAATGAGCCAAACTCCATAAAATACGACTTATGTCACTGCAGAGCTCAAATTAATAGTGTAGTTTCCTTTGCAGCCACCAGGTGTCAACAGCACACTGCAATATACAGTATATGAATGCGAATAGCTATCATTCACACTTTTTGAGGGCCCTGAAGATCCTTCAAAATACCCACTTATGAGAGACTCATAGCCATTTTATTGTTAAGATTTGTTCTATTGAATTATATACTACTTATATAAAGATTTTCACAGTCACTATTGTTATGGCTATTGAAATACAGCCCACCCCCCACCTGTTAGTTCGGAGACCTATTGTATATTTAGGATCCCAAAGAGAAATCATTGTTACTAACAATAAGTTGTGGCCATCAGAGCTATTACTCTTCTTAAATGATCTGAACATGACTTGAAAGCAAACTGTACATCAAAAAGCTAATTCTGAAATGATCAAGCCACCCAGGATCTACCAATAATTTAAGCAGGCATACTTGTCTGAGAAAATGTGCTTATTTGTCAGGATGAACTACTGTTAACATATACAATATATTTTGTCAGCAGAATATACTTATCAGTATGTACCGCAATAAATGCGCCTTTGTCAGGCAGAAATTATGTGTAATCCTAACACTGGGCCTAAACTGGCAAGTACTGCAGTACAATAGTTACAGTGACAATTATATTTTAAAGCTATATTTTAAAGGCAACAAATGAGAATCAATCAGCAGCACTGTTTTGCTAACTTACGATTTTTAGAATAATAAGCATCAAGGTCCACCCCTAAACCTAACTGTAAGCAGCTCTGACAAAAGTATATGAATGAGATTGTACAAGATAAAGGAACTGTTTAACTTAAAATTAAAATTTGCTGAATACTCACCCTCAGGCCATCCAAGATGTAGATGAGTTTGTTTCTTCATCAGAACAGATTTGGAGACATTTATCATTACATCACTTGATCCCCAGTGGATCTTCTGCAGTGAATAGGTGCCGTCAGAATGAGAGGATGGGATGTGGCTTTTCACTTCACACAATGTTAATTAATGGACTGGAGGCATGTGGATTACTTGTGGATTATTGTGATGTTTTCATCAGCTGTTTAAACTCTGATTCTGACGGCACCCATTCACTGCAGAGGATCCATATATAGGCTAATCATATACATATGGTTATCTAATGCTAAATTTCTCCAAATCCAATGAAGAAGCAAACTCATCTTGGATGGCCTGAGGGTGAGTGATTTATCAGCAAATTTTCATTTTTGGGTGAACCATTTCTTTAATATGAATTAGCCACCGATTTGCCAAAACTTAAAATAGTTACAACTTGCAACGAGTGTTGCATTTTCAAGCCTGAGCATGGATAATATCCTTCTAGGTTCTCTTTTTCAGGACACTTGCCAAATATGGCAATCAGACACAGTAATTGTCCAAAACAATCCTAGATTTCAGATCTGGCCAAATTATGACTAATTAATATAATCCATGAATAGCTGCATTTTCACAGTTTGCACTACTGAGCTGTAGGTTTATTCGTCAGCAGTATCAGACTAACAGATCCATGCTGAATTTCTGAGCACTCCACCAGAGAACTTGCTCTGTCTGTGTTCTACAGCAAATATTAATGAACGCATCGGCATAATACGATGTCCTCGGGCAGCTCTATGGTTATAACACCATTCACTTGAATCAATATCTCTGTTGCATTTAATTGATGGGCTCATCTTATTCAGCGAAGGGCTGAGAAATGCCCGGGGCAAAAGAAGAATGTGAGGTGAATGTGTGAGGATAAGTGGCTGGGTTTTGTTGAGGAGAACCTCACTGATGTATATGCTGTAATCATATTGATGTGTCGGTCAGACAGGACCGCACAGCGGACCGGGGCGCCCAGTCTTGTGGTGTGGGTTGAGTTCGTTGCCTTCACTTCTCATCCCCGTAGGGGGTTTGAGGAGCAGCTACACAACAACAGCTGTTGCTAGCAAGAGAGAGGGAGGTCATATCAAGACCAAAAGAGAGGAGTGACAGATAAAGAAATGGGATGTTGGAGACCAACAGCTCAGAGGCGTAAACACAAGACATGTTTTCAGTAGCTAATGAAACTACGGTTGAATATTGACCCATTTTCCCCTTTCAGTGCAGCAATAAAATTGAGCAATACACACTAAGGTGACTAGATTTCTGAAATGAAAACCAGGGACATTTCTAGTTCACGATCAATTTACATTTCCACTGATGTAAACTATGAATTTAATCATTCGAAGGGGAACGATTCTGGTTTTGTGTACTTTGACTCCGGTAATTATGGTAAATCATACTCTGACAAAGTATTGTAAACTACTTTATTTACAGTATACGGAATATTCAGTTTTTAATTGTCTTCTGTTCAGTTTGTTACCCTAAAATTGTGTGAACAGTTGAAATTGAAATTACACATTGTATGCTGCAGTGATAATATTTTGTGTGTAATATCTGGCTCATTAGGAATAATTTCACATTTCAGGCTGTAGACACACAAGACAGCTCCAGACGGGGGCAAAAAAACGAGGCCTGTCCGCGGAAAACTGGAACGCCTGGTCACTGTGGTAAGAGAGTGGTCAGTTAGAGATGAGCCAAAATGATTTTGTTTGGTCCTGCTGTGTTATTAATACGAGCCATTAATGCATCATACTTTCAATAACTCTCTCTCTCTGTTCAACTCCGCTGTCTTTTCTGCCCACCGAGTCCATTAAGCACAGAAAGCTGAAACGTGTACAGGCTGATGATAGTTTCTCTCTCAGCCTCTGGCCCTCTCCACTCCATCAACCTCTTTCTCTGTCCCCCCTCTCTTTCTCTATTTCCACGTTTTCTGTCTTTGCTTCCATAAACTCGACCCCTTTTTGTGTTAGCTGAGGTTAGAAACCTCACTGAAGTCTCTCTCACTCTCTCTCTCTGTGTGTGTGTGTGTGTTCTTCATGTGTCCTCTGGGCCAAATTGTGTTGGTATTCCTGGCTGAAATCAGGGCATGCATCATGACGGCCTCAATTGGCTCGTTAGGGCAGAACCCACCTGAGCCCCAGAATAACACACAGAAATGGAGTTAACTGCAGAGATAAAGCAAGATATCTTCATTAGTGGCACTTACTAAGGCACACATAACTATTGCTAGTATTGCTCATACTAAGAGTTAGAGATC